TTAAAAAATAATTAATGGAATTTTTCTTTATTTCATTGCAATTTTTAATATGAATTTTGAAAATGTGGTGTACTGATTAAATGTAATTTTAGCCGACGAGTTTCTAATTTTTCCTCATGATTTTTTAATATTATCGGCGTGCAAAAAATATTTGCTAATAGCTATTATATAGCTAAGTCCAAAATTGTAAACTAATTTGAACTTTGCACTACTTAACGAACATGGTCGAGCAACACAATGCCTGCATTGGCTGCAATTTTATGATTAAGTTCATTCATTTTTTTAACAGGCTGGAATCAATTATCTAACAAAATTCCTCTGCCTGATTTCGGTGACTTTACTTCGAACGCTCACGATGGTACAAACAGAGTTTTTATATTTGCTGGGAAAATGGTATTTCATTTTTTTCTTATTAGAAAATAAAATTGTAATTTTTTTTCTGTTTGCATTACAGGCCCTGTCGATCTTTTGCCGCCTTAACAAGCCTGCTCCATATCTGCCTATCTTGGGCTATTTCTTTCCATTTATCGGCACGCAGCTGTATTGCGTCTTTGCTGGTTCTATCTATCCATCTGCTTTTTGGCCTTCCACGTGGTCTTTTGCCTTCTATTGAGGCCTCCATTGTTCCGTAGAGACTTTCAGATGGATTGCTACGAGCTACATATCCCGCCCATCTTAACCTCCGTTATTGATTGACCAGTTTCTGTAAGCAGTTTTTTATTCTTCTTTCTTCCCCATGTGTTAGTATTCTAACTCCAGATCGTGCGGAGGATTTTCTGAAATCTTTCAACACTTTTTTCTAGGGTGCTGGTTAGAGTCCAGGCCTCATAGCCATATATTAGAACTGGCTTTATCATATAATTGTACACCCTCAGTTTGAGATTTCTTGAGATTATTCAGGATTTCAATACCTTTGAAAGAGAGAAGAAAGCTCTGTTTGCGCTCGTTATACGCTGGTCTATTTCTGCCCGTTGGTCATTGATTGAGGTTATTGTGGAACCGATGTATTTAAAATTTTCTATTCTTGGGAATGATTTTCCTTGGACGCAGGTCCTGTTATTGGAGTGAAATTTTCGGCTTATTATCATATATTTTGTTTATATATAATAAAATATTGTCATAATTTCTAAAATTAATTATCGATTATCGAATTATCGAAGTCGGCAATTGCACCTGAATGTTGTCCCTGGGCATGTGGCCAGACTAGTTTTGCACGTGTGAAAAAGGTCTTATCATTCTGTGTGGGACCCCCTTTCAGTAAGCCCGGATGAAAAAAATATAATCTCGTTTTAAATGCCTTTCATGATATAATTTCTTAATCATAATCTTGTATATATAAATTCCTATAATATATTTAAAACAATGCTTAAGTAAAAAAAATAAATGGAGATAATTCTAAATATTTTAAGACAACTTGGTAATATTTAGCTCTAAATAGAAAATGGGTGAAATAAAGCACAGACATTTTTTGATATTGCAAACATGGAAAGACTAATTAATCCGTGAACTGGCGCCCAACCATCTTAGTACTAATCCTCACCCGAACTCACCGCTACTGCAAATTCCTTCTCACATTGATTATTCATCCAACTAAGGATAAAAAATTAAGTCTTTATAATTGTCCATTTCGATTGCCATTTTCGATTTCAAACAATTATGCCCATCGAAGAAAACAAAAATACCCTTTCCCTTCCCCTTTCAAAAAATTAACAATGCTCTATGATGTGCCCTTAGCCACCCCTTCCATCGCGTTTCTTTTTTTCGTGGACTTTGATTTAATTATTGAAGTCAAAAGTTCCTAATTTTCAAATGCATATTTGTCAGTGGAAAATACTGCTGTTTCAATTAGTACAAGAACCAGACATAAATTTAAAATTAGTCACGATCCTGTATGGTAGTGGAGAAGGCATAATCATCGGCCAAAAGATATTATTTTGGATAACTCGATGGTGTAAAAAAACAGGTATATCCGAACTTTAATGTTGGAAATGGGACATACTTTAATGTTGGGGTCCTTCCAATGTCGAAACATTTTAAATTTAAGTATCAACATATTTCAGAATAATAGATTAATAGCAACAGGTTGGTTGACGGTTTTTCAATATTTTGAAAGAGAAGTAATTATTAAATAATAGTCCGTGGTACAGACCCCTTTTTATCGAATTATTGACATCCGCCTGAAATTTCGTGAATAGTTTCATCTCATCGGAACCTACAACTATTTTATTTACGAAAACTGTTGGAATTGGGGCTTTTTCAATCTAGAGGAGGCAAACTTTGTTTAATTACGTACTGAAAACTCGTAAATACCCATTTCTACTTGGATCGTAAGATAATTTGATCACAAAATCGATAAAAAATGTGGCTTTCAAAAATATTGGGCCGTTTGGCGTGACCTACACCTCCAAAAATTTCAAAATAACGAGGTTATATAGGACAAACACCTTTTTTTTAGGCCACTTTTTTTAATCAATTTTATGATCAAATTATGTTAGGATCCAAGTAGAAAGGAAATAGGTATTTACGGGTTTTTAGTACCTAATTAAATAGACAAAGTTTGCCTCTCTCCAGATTGAAAACGCCCCCATTGAAAACATTCCAAGAGTTTACGTAAATAAAATAGTTGTAGGTTACGATGAGATGAAAATATTTACGAAGTTTCATGTGGATGTTAATAATTCGATAAAAATGGGTCTGTACCACGGACTATACAGTCTTAATGACTCCATCCTTGAATTAATGATTAAATAAATCATCCTCCCTTGAAGCAAAACAAGATTTACTCCCGTGAGGCCAAATTACATCATTCGTCAATATATTCTCAAAACAAAAGTGTCAATCACAGTATTTGGTATTTTAAAGATGCCTTTTGAAAGATGGTGCCAGTTGGACCAGTGGGAAAATGGTTCCCCCTCGAATGGGAATGGGCTCTTGAATCGCACCATAGTGGGGCCTCCCTCGCCCACTGTAAAGGGGGAATCCCTTTGCCTGTCAGAAATAGAATTGCACAATAGTCCTATTACAAAATATGCCTATTGTACTTGCAGTATTTCAATATTACGCAATATTTTTTTTATAACCGATGAAGTAAATATGATATATGATTAAACTAAACTGGAAGTCCCTTAAGTAAAAGGTAAATATTTAAAGTGGTGATAGTAGATCTTGAAATCTACAAAAATTTAAGTATAGTCATTTTTTAAGTGTCATGTTTTTTGTTAAATAACAAGCGATAACTAAAAAAATATTTAATATAGACAATTAACAGTTGCTTGTTTGTAAACTAAATAAAATTTCCTTCCAATGCAAGTGGAATTTATATCCGTTAAAACCATAGATGTCGATTCCTATAAGACGCGGGGGACGCTCCCGCCCTCCCCCCCCCCTAGATTTGAAATAGTCCCATTCATCCCCACCAATAATTTGAGTAGTTCCATATAGTCCTGTATTAGTCTTATTTGACTGATCACCCCAACTATTTCTTCTCTTTATTATTGTAATTAATAAATATATACTAATTATAATCAATTATTGTTTAAATGTTGTTATACATTATACTAACCATGGCGAGCAGGAGCATTTAAAAATGTAGTTGGCTTGGCTCCCAGATGTTTTCCTATAAGACCCGAGTCAGTGGCTGGTTTGTCCATCTCCCCATAGTTGATGGTACACCACACCCTTCCCAAGATATTTTACTGCTCTTCTTTTCTTAAAAACAGTGAAAGCCAAAGTAAAATTAGAAAAACTATAAATCCTAAACAATAACACTTGCTATCAAGCTAGGTGTTATGTGATTTTCCCTTTGTTATCTTGATTTGAAAGTTCCTTAAAATTGAAACTCCATAAAAATGTTTAACTTAAAAAAAAATCCTAACCTATTTAACATTCCTAACATCTAAAGAATTTTTTTAATGTATCATTTTTAGAATTTTTAATATATCATACCTGCGTTTTTAAAATTTTGAATTGAGCTGATGATAAATCTCTTTGGATGACCACTATAAAGATCATCAAATTCAAATATTTTAATCATCAACTTATTACTGAAACTCAAACCTGGTTCACATCTGACAAACAAAAAATTTCAAGTACCTCACCAAAACATTTAATCCACATCCTCATATCCTTAATCCAATCCACCTAAAGTATTTCATCCTTCAGGAATTTCCAACATCATTTATAGTTCACCTTCCCGCAAAAGTCCTGGACATGAACTTATTACACCCAATATCTTAAAGCTTCTTCTTCAAAAAGCTGTCCTACTCCTTACCTACCTATGTAATCCGCGAGAGTCTTTCTTGACATAGAGCAGGCATTCAATCAAGTGTGGCATCTGATATTACTTTACGAAATAGTCTATAATGCTGTTTCTTTCCAGACTCGAGAAAGTTATTTTGTGTATTGTTTTGTGGGGAAAGAAGAAATTTCCCACCAGCATATCATAAAATAAAATCAACAGTCTATGCAGAAGTCAATAAGACGTCCATTTCCATTTCTTACAGTTTCCTCTCCATGGAGTCCGAGTGCACAATAAGTGGGAGAAGGATCACAACCTGTTCTGCCATTGAAATCTCCACTCAGTATTGCGAATCGCCCTTTAAACTTGATTTTGTTGAGTAATCCTTGCAAGTCAGAGAAGAACACTTCCTTATCCATGATTCCCGCATCCTCCGTTGGTGCATATACCTGCACTGGAGTAACTTCCCAAATGCCCAACACAAAATTTGCAGCAATTATTCTTGGTGAGATAGGCTCCAAGTCTTCCATTTGTTTATACATTGTTGGAGTCATAGCTATACCTACTCCTTCCTTCGTGAAGTTTCCTTGAGGAATTCCAGCATATATATGAGCATAATCACTGTCCAGTTTTTTCATATCCAAATAATTTAAATGTATGCGAGTTGGGTTTGGTAATAAATAAAAAGACAACAAAATTATAGGGTATTTTCATGGCTTTTTCTTTTCTTTTTTTTTTAATAGTAACATTTATTTATTTCCAGCATGTGCCCCTCCTCCTGGCAAATACGATCCAAAGTTCGAAAAGAAAGTAATTGGAGTAACTATTGACAAGAGCAAAAGATTCAATGAGAAGAAGGGAGGTATGGGAGGTGGATCAATCAATGCATCCACCGAGAGTTTAGACTCAGCATGCTCCAGGTGTTCTTCTCATACTCACAGTCAAGTTGTCTTCAGAACCGTAAGTATTACACATTATTGTTTATTTATTTATTTTCGTAGAGCAATTAGTCCAACTAATATTACTATAACTAATTTTTTTAAAATAACACTGTTGTTTACCTTAATTTAATTATTATTGAAATTTAATGATTTTGGTAAATCTCAAACAAAGGGTGTACAATGCTCTGATAAAGCCAGTTCTAATATATGGCTATAGACTTGGACACTAAACAGCACCCTAGAAAAAAGTGTTGAAAGATTTGACAGGACAATCCTCTGCACTATGACCTGGAGCGATCTGGGATCAGAGTACTAACACATGGAGAAGAAAGACCAATAGAGAACTGCTTACAGAAACTGGTCAATCAATATCCCTATGGTATGGAGGCACGGAGGTTAACATGGGCGGGGCAAGTAGCTCGTAGCAATCCATCTGTAAGCCTCTACTTCACAATCAATGGCTCAATAGAAGGCAACCACAAGACCACGTGGAAGGCCAAAAAGCAGCTGGGTGCAGATAAATGGAAAGAAGTAGCCCAAAATAGGCTGAGATGGAGCAGGCTTATTAAGGCGGCAAAAGATCTACATGGTCTGTAATGGCAACAGAAAAAAAGAATATGATTTTGGTAATATAACTGGGATTCAATCAACAATAAAAAATTATATTTTAAGAATCCTTAATGTTCTGCCATAAAAAGAATGGTTCTTATATAAATAATAATGTTTTAATATGTATATATGTATATATTGTAATATTTTTATTTTTATCTCTCTGTCTGTCTGTCTATTATTGCCAATGTTTGTCTTTTAAAATCTGAAATCAATTTTGGCATCCCTTGTAAAGGAACGATTAAAATAACCGACTCTTTGGGTTAGAAATGGATAACATTAACGAACCAGTTACCAAAGAAATGTCCCAAGATTATGAAGAAGGTCAAACAAAGACACAACTTGGAAACACAGAGATGTGGATGGAACAGATGTTTGCTAAACTGTCAAAACAATTAGGAACCGAAATAGAACTAATATCAGAAGGATTCAAAAAACAGGCTTTAGAATCAAGAAGCGAGATGAGACAACTGATATCAGAAGAATTCAGAAATCAGTCTGAAAAATTAAATGAAAAACTAGAAGATGTAACAAATAATACAGACCTAGTAGCAAAGAAACTAGGAGGAAGGATGGAAGAAATACAGTCTGATTTGACCAACCGGATTAAGAAAAATGAAGACAGGCTGAATAACATAGAACTTGACTTTGAGACAAAACTGACCACTTCGGTTAAACAAAATAGAATAGAAAATACAGAAAAGTATGAAAACCTAAGAATACATGTAAACAAAGTAAATGAAGAGATAAAATATTAATAAAATAATTAAATTAAAATATTACAATATATATATATATATATATATATATATATATATATATATATATATATATATATACTCTAAAAAAATGTTATTAATACATCTTAGATTAAGGTATTTTGTAATTCTTCTGAGTTACATAAGATCATTTAAAGATTTTATTTAATTAAGCTTGTAAAATTTGTTTTCAGCCCCAAATGCCAAAAAAGAGGGTTTTCGCAACTCCAAGATCAGCTATTGAAACTTCTCAAAACCGAAGAACAAGTACTACTGGCTTAAAAACAAAAAAGAAATTGAATGACATTTTCATGTAAGTTTAATATTTCTTAACTTCTCTTAATTCCTTTGCTATTTATTTTAAATAACAATGACAAATCTACAAAACACAGTTATTTTTAATTAATTTTGGGAACTCTTTCAAAAGCAATTGATTAGATCAAAGTAGTTAATTTTTAACATAACTTATTATTTCAGTCTTATTGTCATATTAAATTTTTTTCATCAGTAGACACAGTATTTGTTTATCTAATGACGTATCAAAGTATAGTGTACTATTTTGTAGTTAAAGTACATATACAAATGTTGATTTTTTGCTACCCTAATCTAATGTTTAATAAAAATTGAATGATATATATTAATTAAGCAGTTATGGTTTTTTGTAAGGTTTAACATTTTAAATTACCAATGAGCTGATGATGGTTAGGAGTGTATATAAAAGAGAACTGTAATTATGCAAACGTTTTCATCTATTTTCTTCGAAAAATAGTTTTGTAATTAGAGGGTGTTCAGGTCACAAATGTACAGGAGATACCAGAACAGTAAATTGAAGGTTAAAATAAGAATCTCTTACATTTGTTAATCCACTTAATAAGAAATAACAACTTAATTTCATGATTATTTAGATGAACCTTTTAATATTTGTTTAATTTTTTTTTCAGGCAGGAAAAAGAAAACATACTTGAGCAGACACCTGAAAGAGAACAAGCTTATTGTCTTCTTGGAAAGGATCAGGAAATTTCCTCTCTTTTGAATGAAATAGCAGAATTAAAGAAGTCGATGTCGAAAATGGAGAATTCCAGTGACATATTATTGAATAATCTGAGATCTGAATTTGAAACAAGCTTCAACAGGCTAAGTGCGGAATTGGAACAAAGCAAAAGTGAACTTGAAAAAGAAAGAGAAGGTCAAAAAAAGAGTTTAAATGACTTCAAAAGTCATATTAGTGTTCTAGAAGAAAATATTATTAACTGTAATGCAATTAACAGCAACCTGGAACAACAGTTAGCTGAAAAACAAATTTCTCTCGAAGAAATGTCAAACAAACATATTCAAATAGAAAAGGAGCTCAAAGAAGCTAAAGAAACGATAGATAAACTGCTCGCCAATCATGCTTCTGAAATTAAAGCTTTGAAACAAAAATGTTCAGATGAAATTGAAGAAATAACAACAGCTGCAGAATTAAACTTAGATCTAATTACACAAAAGATGGAGAATAAAATGAAAGAATTCCAAAAGGAAGTAGAAAACAGTCAAATGGATGAGGCAGTAGATTTTATTGATAAAATAAATGAAATTAGTGATGTTATCAAGGAGAAGGTAAAGCTTTTTGATTCTCAAATTTTAGAGGCACTTACTAAATTAAAAGTGATTGAAGAGGACCTTCAGAAAAAGTCTATTGAAATCATAGATTCCTTGAAATTGAGTAATGAAGTGCATGAAGATAAACTGAAAGAACATATCAGAGTGTGTGAATCACTTGAGACGCAAAAAGTAATAAATTTAGAACAAAAGATATTAATAGTAGAGCTTCAAGACAAAGTAGATATACTCGAAAATGAAATTGGTAAATTAAAGAAGCAGTGTAATAAATATGAAGTTATTCAAAATGAAGCTTCCAAAACAATCCATGTACTTAGCCAGCGACTATTTGAAAGTGAAAGTGAAGTTGAAAAACAAAATGAAATACGAAATGAAATGAAATTACGTATCAATGCTTTAGAAGAGCAAATCAGGAATCTAATTTATGAAAATAATCAACTCAATAATAATTTATCAGATCTTCGTACAGCGATTGTGGCTGAGGTCAAAGAAGTAGAAAAAATTTTACTAGGAAAAGTTGATAACTACAAGAAGAAAGCTGCTGAAGAGACTCACAAATACAGAATTCTTTTAGAAGAGAGGCAGAACCAAATTGATTCTCTTATGAAAGAATTGGAATATTACAAAAACAAAGCAGTTGAGACTTCAGAATGCATAATGTTGTGTCAAAGCAGAATCACCAGTTATAAAGAGGAAATTAAGGAACTTTCTCTCAAATTCAATGAGCTTGATGATGAATATAATGAAAAAATGAATGCACAAAAAAATTTGTATAGTATATTAAATGAAGATTATAGGAAACTACAGGAAAAATACCAATATGAAAAAGATATACATCAAAATGAACTTGAACATTTGCACTTGGCAAAATCAGATTTAGAAAAAGAAATGGAGGGAAAAATTGAAGAAGTTGCAAATCTTCAACTTTCTCTTGAGGAAACCCAATTGAAATTAACAAAAACCGAAAAAGAACTTGAAGATTTACAAGTGGTAGTTCATGAAAAAGAACAAGCTGTAGAAGATCTTGCATTGAAGCTGGATCATTATACAGACTGTGCCCAAAATACAACCCAGCAAATCAATTTCCTTAAAAAAACTAATGACGACTTAGAAGCTGATTTGAAAAAAATGGAAGAGATTATTAATGAAAAGGATTTGAGCATTGAAACACTCTCTGTCGAATTGTCAGAGAGTAAAAGTTATGTTCAAACTGTTACAGAGCACTTTGTTTCATTAATGAATGAACTTGGAGAAAAAGATAATAAATGTGAATCATTGACTACTGAAATAGAAATGAAGAATGCGAATATGATCCAAGTATCAGAGGAATATGAAAAAATGAAGAAATTGTATGAAAGTGAAGCCAACAGGGTAGCAGAATTGGAAAAGGACCTTCGAGACACTCAAAGGGACAATGAGAAATATGTTGATGAGCTTATATCAGAACTGGTTCTTGAAAAAGAAAGGTGCACAGAACTTACGCAAACCGTCGATGATGTGAAACATAAAAATGCTGTTTTAGATAAAACTGTTGAGGATCTTGAAAACAAATTAAAAGAAACTGAAAATGTCGAAATTCTTAAGAAGAAAATGAGGATTCTTGAAGGAAACATTGAAGAATTGAAAATGGAAAATGTAGATTTCAGTAATGAAATCGAAGCTCTTTACAGGGAAATTGAAGATAGTGAAAGAGAAGTTGAAGAGCTCAAGAGTGAAAAAAAGAAAATATCTCATCAATTAAATGAACTGAAAGGTGAAAAAACAGACCTCATGGAAATGATAAAACAGCAACAGGAGGAGATGGAGTTAATAACAAATGAAATAAGTAGACAACAAGAGCAAATAGATGAATTGAAACAAATGAAGAATGACAAAATTGATGAGTTAAGAGCTGAATTTCAAACAGAGGTAGAAAATGAAGTTTTGATGCTCCAGCAAACATTAGAAGAAAAGCAGAAAATTGTTAATCAACTGCAAGCTAAGGAACAAGACTTAGTGTACAAGTTAAAGGCAGCTGAAGCAGACTTGATAGCTGCTGAAACAGAAAAGAAAAATTCTGAGAATAAACTACACGACATTTCAGAAAAAAATGTTGAGTTAAATAGTAAATTAAGTGCAATGGAAAAAAGAAAAAATGAATATAAATTATATGCAATCGATTTAGAGCAAGATGTAAAGATTCTCAAAGAACAGTTGTCAGTATTACAGGATGAGAAGGAAAAACTTAAAGAGCAATATCATGAGTAAGTTCCGTACTTATACATTTTTATTACTACAGCTATAAAAATAATTACATATTTGAATGAATCATAAATTACATAAATATGAATTGAAATCATTGTTACAATTACAGGGAATCAATGAAAACAACTTCCATTGAAGCTACAGTAGCTGACTTGGAGTGCAGAAATCGGGAATTGGAAAGTATCATTGGACCATTTAAAGAGCAACTAATGAAATATGAGAGTGAAAGGGCGGATCTCCTCCAGAAATCTGCTACTACTGAAAAGGAATTACGTGCTCTTGAATTGGCTCATGCAAAAACTCTTGGGCATCATAATCATAAACAGAAAATTAAGCATGTGGTGCATCTTACGGAACAAATAGCAGAATTGAAAACGGTAATCTTACAATTATATTATCACAAGTAAATTTTTTTACCATTCCTAAATAAATACTCATATCTTGCTTCTTTTGATGTTTATGTTAAACCAAATGTAGAATTTATTAATAAATATAATTTTAATTAGATTTTGTAAATCTTTAAAAAACAATTTGACAAATTCATATTACAATATATTTTTTATAAAAACTTTTGTTAGGCCAAAAAAATCAGTCAAGAATGTTCTGATTGAAAAATTAACTAAATTTGATATTTTACTAGAGTAACTAAAGATTGATTACTTGGACAAAGAAAAATAGTTAAGTGTCTCAGGATCTAGTAATAGTTAATTCTGTCTGTTATATAGATTGTGAAGTATGACCTGATTTAACTTAAAACCTAAGTTACAGTATATTTTGAAGGAAGTTAGTCGACTGTTCTACATATCATGGGTAATAAATATTCAGGGCGCAGTGAATATTGGGTCAATCTATTTGAAATCACCAAATTTGAATTAATTTTGTTGCTCAAAATTTTTGGTTTTTATAATTTTTTCACCAGTTATTCCAAATTTATTTTGATATCTGCAAAAATGCCGCAGTTAGAGTAGGTAGGATATGCTGATACCAACTCTCACTAGCCAGCCATATTTGTTGAGCTTTAACTAATAGAACCAGTTGAATCTCAATGATCGAATTCGTATCACACATTCCTATCATTAAGAGGTATAAACTGTATCAATTTCATAATTTTTCACTCACTCCCTTTTGTGGTATATAACATACAAAATAACCAGAGTTACAGGCATTTTCCCAAAACATGTTTTCAATTGAAAAGAAAATTAAAAATGGGTCCCGAGAGAAAACTGTGGGCTACAAAATTTTACTAACTACAGTTTTGTACTCTCAAATAAATCTAGAATAACTGGTGAAAAAATTATAAAAAATCAAAAATTTCGAGCATCATGGTCTGGGTGATTTCAAATGGATTGCCCATATTATGTCACATAGATCAGTCACTGTTATTCCATTTTCTTTATTTAGGTCTATTATTGGATTGATTCAGTTCATTATTAATTTTAAATTTACATTATCAATTAATTACCTGAAACATCAACTACAGTTGTTATCAAGCTTCGTTATTACAAGAATGATAACCTCGGCAGATTTTATATTCTTTGTTTATAAGAAATGGTACATATATTCTTTCTCTTCTACCATACACGTAAAAAAATTTACCCACTTATTCAAAAAATAATAAACAAAAGAAGATTGTTTCAATTAACTAAACTGTTTAAATATGAATGACATGTTATACTTATATTTTTATTAAAATAATAATTTACTTATTAATTATAATAATTATTGATTCTTAAAAAAAAATTTTAAGTTACCATCTCATTGTTTTCAGGAACTTGACAAATTACGCACAGAGAATACAGTGTTGAGGGCATCAGTTCTTGAAGCTCAAAAAGAAGCAAGCTTAAGGAATAAGCGAAGAGACAAAGAAAATGAAACAAGTCCCATGAAAGTTTCCAAAACCAAGATAGTAGGTCGTGCCTCTAGTCCTGCTCTCAAGGAAAGGACAAATGCGCATTAGGTAACCTAAATTGATTATTTTTTCATTTAAAAGATACAATTGTTTTACAAAATATTTTAGTGGTTATCAGTGGTGAAGGTTGAGTTATAAGTTAGTCAGTTTAAAATACTGGATGTTTTAACTTTAATTCATAAAATATAGTTTTCATAAAAATTGTATATCTTGTGACCCCAAATAAATAACATACAGTGGGCAAAAAAAGTATTCGTACACCCCATTTTTTGCCTAAAATAGTTCAATATAATTTTTTTAACTTGAGTTAATGGCAGATATCAATTACAAACTTCATTTTGTGTTAATTTTATGTAATGCTAAAATTTTAAATCTCATACAACTTTCATAACACTAATATTTCAATAATTTGTACACAAAAAAAAAAGTATTTGTACACTAGATCATGTGTTGAAGATGGGATAATTTATGTTCTTAAAACAGTGGTGTAACGTTCTATTTATAGTCTGTTACTCCAGAGCATTAAAGGAAAAAATAAGGAGAAATTTCTTGTTTAGTTCAGTTATAAATATTTCTTCACAATGTGTCGTAGGTCCAAAGAGTTGAGTTCTCAAAACATTTTCAACAGGGTTTAAGTTTGCGGTATATTGGAAAAAAGTTCAGACTACCTAATACGACATTATAAAAAAATTCAAATCCGGATCAGTGAAGAATAAATCCCGCCCTGGGAGAAAACTCTTTGTGACAGTGACAGTGTGAGAATCTCATGAAATCGTGCTTAAACTAGCAAAAAAATCCCAAATTAAGTGCTTGAGAGTTTTCGGCTCACATCACGTCATGGGAAATCTGTAATACCCTAAACCATGAGAAATCAGCTACATGAGGCTGGCTATAAAGGTAAAGTGGTAATAAAAATACCTTTTATAAACAAAAAAAAAAAGATTGGGGTTTGCCCGAGAACATCTAAATAAACCCAACACGTTTTGGGAAAATGTGTTGTTTTCATATGAAAGCAAATATAATATAATTGGATCTGACAGAAAAAAAAATATGTTTGGAGGAAAAAAGGAAAGGCATTTGAATCCCAAAATCTACAAACCACAGTGAAGCACTGAGGAGACAGTGTCATGGTTTGGGACTATATGGGTGACCAAAGGAGTTGGTGAACTAGCCTTTATTGACGGGATAATAAATGCTGACAGATATATGGACATGTTGCGATACTATTTTAATAAAAGTGTATGAAAGTTAGGAATCGAGAATACATATATGTTTCAGCAGGACAATGATGCCAAGCACACGGTCAAAAAAACAAACAATGGTTTCTTTATAATGTTCAAAACATTCTCAAAACACCCCCACAATCACCGTCTCTTAATCAAATTGAAACTTTATGGGTGCTGCTGAAATTACAAATCCGAAAATCTTGTTCCTCTCGGAATGACTTAATAAACAATTATAAAAAAACGTAAGAAGAAATTGGACCTATGTCAAGGAGACTCAATACTGTGATAAACGCGAAAAGGTAACCTACAAAATATTTAAATTAATTGAGATTGATATTTATTATACTTTCTTTGGGTTAGTTAAAAGTACAAATTTTTTTTTTTGCGCTTCATATTTGAAAATTTTTCATACCATATATGTTATAAAATTTTATGTTTTTCTACAATTGATGCAAAATGAAGTTTATAATTTTATCCATAGCTACTTTATGTCAAAAACATAGATACAAATTTTTTTGTCTAAAACATATGGTGTACTTACTTTCCACATTAAATTTATTGTTTTTTAATGAGTAAACCTCTATGTATGTTTTTATTTATTTATCCCTGGTATTTACAACTGTATTAAAATAAAATCCTCTATGAATTAAATTTTCAATTATTACAATTAATTACATTGTTTGTTTCACAGGTATGTAAGGTGCCTTTTATGAAGTGCTTCTGTTGTATATTTTCATAAAATGAAGCACAAATGTATATTTGTAAATTATTGAAATTTAATATGGAAGGACAATATCATAGTTTTATATTTCAAAATTGTTTCAATAAATCGTCCGAATGACAATATTCAGATTATTTTATTCAAATATTTTTTATTTTCATCAGTATTATATCAGATATAGATGAAATCTATGTATCATCGGAAGAATTTTAAAAATATATCTATACAAATGTATTTATGTAAGTATAAATAAGTATTTATTTAAGCTCATATAAGATTAAATAAGCAACCTTTATTTTGTTACTGTAGATATTTTAGTCTTGACATGGAAATTGTGATAATGATTTTTAGAAGTTTTTACCATAATGTATCTTTTATACCTTGCATACTTTTTTTTATTCTACCTGTATAGAAATTACAAGTTTATTCAATTTGTTACCATAAAAAAATTACAGTATGTTACATCCTTTATATAAATATTATTAAGATTTATTATTGAAATGGGGAACGTAAACTTTTATATTATTTTTTTTTTTTTAGTAGACAATACCTGGTCAATTATTACATTTTGTTCTAATAATTACTTAGTTTTTTCTCTTAAAGTATTTATTATAATGTTTGTAATTTTATTTGGGTTTGTTGTTACAGTGATGTAATTCTCCTGCATTGGGAGAAATCAGGGCATGTCATTTTTGTATTAAAAAAATAAATTGCATTATTATGTCTTGGTTTATTTTTTTCAATTATTCCTCAATAAATTAATTTGTCTGTTAATAAAAATGTTAATGTTAATTTTTTTTATTTTTCTAAATAGTCATGTTTTTTTTTTTTATAAAGATAGTTGACTGTGGAAGGTTATTTCTGACTACAAGTAATTTACAGTACCTTTACTTTTCTTCTTCGAATTTCACTTTTGTCTTTCAATGCAATGAAAACTTATAAAAAATAATAAATTTTATTTTAAATATGATTAAAATACATTACTACATCACATAGAGACAGACTAAGATTGGGATTCATCCCCATATCCTTGATATATTCATTACTTCTCAGACCCTAATAAACTCCTTAGGTGACTTTTTATTGGATCATAGCCAAACCCTCTCCTCCATCACACATTACAGGACAAGTAAGCTGAAGCGATTTGCACTACGATCCAGGTAACAAATTGGTCTAGAAGATTCTGATATAACCAAAAACAAAAGTACAGATTGATTCCGCTACGAAGGTACTCACAAAATCAATAACATTTCTAACTGCAAAATTAGAAATTCCTATGAAACCCAATTGCCACACATATTCACATCTTATTAACAGAAAAACTCGGGGCAAGAGCAAAGATTCAGATATCTATAAGACAAAACTCATTACAACAAACTGAAAATTAAAATCCGACAATTCAAACTTCCAGAACTGTTCAGAAAGCCTAATATCCACTAAATCATGATGGACAACCACTATATAGCTACAAAATCCAAAACGTTTAACCATCTATTCTTCATTAAATCATTGATCTGGCTAAGATCCAACGAAGAAAAATCCTTGATATATGATGAAAAAATTTTAATCCTTATCCTGATATTCTTAACCTCCCAATCCATCTTGAATATCTAATTATTTCTTTCAAAATGTCCTTTCCGAAAAAGCTCCTGGTCAGGATCACATCACATCTCAAATCCTAAAGCAGTTCCCACAAAAAGCTATGCTAGATTTGAAGTTTTACTGTTAAATGACAGTAATTAATTACAATAATGATTAACAACTGTCAGTGAAACTCTGGCTTAAAAGTACTTTCTCTGAAAATATTGTAGATAAACCAAATATTACTGCATTTAATCAAACAATGCAAAACCTGAGATTTTTAAAAGGCTGGTTAATAATTATTAAAAAAAAAAGTATAGAAAAAAGTGTTATAATATATCATATATTTGATAACATTGCATAAAAGATATGTTAACATATGAGGCAAGTTTATTGTCATAGAACTGCGAATAAGCAAGCTCAAAAGGCTGAGGAGGTTCAGAATTTTTAGAAATAAATTTGGCACTCGAATATGTGTAAAATTACAGTGCAATAATATTAACATTCATTGATATCTATATAATCTATGCCAATATGTAATAATCTACTGCATTTTATTTAATTTAGAAAGCAGTTTAAAGCTTTAAAATGATCATAAATGTTAATAATACATTTAAAATTAAAACCGCAAGTAACAATTTGCAGAGTAACAATATACACTCAGTACAGAAGATGCTTATGAAATAAACAAAAATAAATAAAATAGATCATATGAAACACATAATAACTTAACAATACTTTATATAGCAGGCACAATTTTAAAAGCTTATTCACAACAAGTAATACAAAACTGATATACCTCAGATGATTCATTAAGGTATAAAAATAAGCTCCATTAAAAATACTTTCACAGAAGCAACGCAATGAAAATAATAAATACAAACAATACTGAGATTTATTTTTATTTTTCTTGAATGGACCATGGTATTTTTTAAATTCAATTCTGAGGTCTGTACCAATTGGTCCCTTAATATATAACAAAGATAAAATATTTAAATTATGTTATTTCGATATAATGGTATAAAATTAAACAATAGTGTTAAAAATACAATTGGCAACAATTTTATTTTATGTTCGGAAGACGAATCTTAAAACTAAATTTTGTAGTGGCTTTTGAATTGGACAAAACTAGAAGAAGAAGAAACAAAATATAAATGTAATTAGTTTCAATATGATATGTATAAAATTACATAGTCATACCAATCCAATAAAACCAATTCAATTATTGCCACTTATTTACAGAAATTATTCGGAGTCAACAATTATAAATACTCTTAAAGACTACTCATAACGTATCCTTCTGATTCCCGATAAATATAGGAAAATAAAGGATAGAAAGCAGTAATAGTTTAGAATTAAGTTTTCAGAAAGTTTCTTGTGGTTTCAAACTTGTGATGAAAGTGTCATCTTGTCAGGAGAGGCAGCCACGTGATGATTTGGAGATTTCTGTAAATTAAAAAACATGGATATCCACATAATCAATATACACGGTGTCCCGTGAGTAGAGGGAAATATTCAAAAGGTTGATAGTAGACATCAAGATCTACAAGTTTATATAAATAATTGCCCAAATATCAGCTGAAAAGTAGCAAATTTAAGAGTCAAATGTTTTGGAAGTGATAACAAAAAAAAAATTCATTTAAGTAATTAAATATTGCTCCATAACATACTAGACAAAATTTGTTTCAAACTAAAGTAAATTTTGCCATTTTAAAACAATTTAAAGAGGACTATTTAACTGACAAACTCAGCTAAGTTCCGTTTAAAAAAAGGTCATAAATTATTTGTAAATTTTTATTATCTCCTCTCAACAGTACTAGTTACCCCTTTTAGAAAAACTTTCACATTTAATTAGCTTTAAGTCCATATTATTTAAGTTGAGGTTTATTAGAAAAAAATTGGAGATTCACCTCAAGTTGTGTACAGAAATAATATGATTTTCTATCCAATCACCTTAAATTATCTTATTTTCAGCAAATATGACATTTAACTGTTGTAAAGCTTTTATTTCTTGTTTTTCCATGATCAGTAAAGTATGGTAATAAACAAAATTGCCTAAATACCAGTTTTATTAATAAAAATAAAAAATTTAAATTAATAATTTTTCAAATAGTTTTCTTGTAAAGTGGTTATGAAATTATGTTTTTCCCTCAGATTTTTGTCATAAAAATCTACTGAGTGCTTCAATACTTTTCATGAAAACATAAATATTGGGACTAGAAACATGTTTGTCATTCATAAATACACATATATTCCTTTGAGAAAAATCTGGGAGAAAAACACAATTTCGTAACAACCTGACATCAAAAATATTTGAAAAACCATTATAATTCATTAAATCATTACAATGTATTTTTAACATTTTCATTTTTATATATAAAATATGTACTTAGGCAATTATATTTATTACAATATATCCCATAACTCGGAAAAACAATAAATAAAAGCTTTCAGTTAGTTGTAGTAATTTTGCTGAAAACACGGATACTTTTAGATGACTGGATAGAAAATCACATTATTTCTTTATACAACTTGAGGTGAATCTAAAAAAATGTTCGTATTAACCTAAGGAATTAAAACTAATTAAATGGCAAAGTTTTTTTAAAAGTGGGGTAACCGTAGTACAGTTGAAAGATGATAAAAAAAAAAAAAAATCACAAATAATTAATGTTTTTTTTTAAACGGAACATAGCTGAGGTTTGTCCACTTTATTATCCTCTTTAAATGGTTTTAAAAATGACAATTTCTACTTTAGTTCAAAGTAAATTTTGTCTAGTTTACTATGGAGTAATGTTTAGTTACTCAAATCAAATATTTTTTTAGTAATCGCTTCCTATTCAACAAAAAACGAGACCCATTTAAAAAAACACAAATCTTAAATTTCCTACTTTTCTGCTGGGAATGGGGCAATTGTTTATATATACATTGTTGTAGATCTTGATATCTACTATCAATGTTTTAAATATTTCCCCCCTACTTATGGGACATGCTGTATAATAATGGTTAAAATAACTTAAATACTACAGAGAGGATAGTTATATTCCTGGTGTAGTAGTGCCTGAATTGCACCACCTTTGACTATCAGATAAATTAAGGTAAAGTATGGATGGTCACCATACAGGTCCAACTTGGGGGTGGGGTGGCCGAATGGTCTAATATGTGTGCACAGCAACGCGAGTTCCCTGGCAACCAGATAACCGAAGTTATGAGATTAAAAAAGTTTGAGTAGTGCCAGAGGGAATTTTAAATTCCCTGCCCTCACACTCCTAAAAGGCAAGGTTCAACTTATAAGCTTTGCTTCTGTCAAGATGTGTTTGAACGATTTTATTATTGGATATACTGACATAGTTTTACCTTTTCTTCTTCTATCTGCCTCTATCTGTTACAACAAATATTCATAAAATTTTAACTAAGATAAAATTTAATGTCCATTGAACACCTTGCTTCTGGACAAAAATGAAGCCTAGACGTTATTAACACTAGGAAAACAATTAAATGAATATTTGAACTGTAAGGGTAGTCCTCAGCTACTTCAAAGTTGGTTTATTAAAGTTATTTTATTTTATCTTTTAAAAGTTAACGGAAGTGATGAATATTGTATTATATAGAATCATTATATTTTGAATGGAAATGCGATTCAATAACTTGTAATATTAGGTACCGGTAATAATAAAATACATAATTTTTATCATTCACAATGAAATATTTTTTAACACCTTCACTGATTTTTTTTATAAAATTTAGTTTTGGCTTAACAACAGTTTTCCTAAAATAGTTAACCAATGTTCCAAAACCAAAGCTTTTTTTTTCTTCAGGAAACATCAATAAAAATGGTATAATGGTGAAGATGTCAGCCCTAGAATGAATATTAAGAGGAATGGGATGGGAGGAAAGGTGAGGTGATAGAAGAGATAACACACAAAAAAGTATTCTTATTTAGTAGCTATACTTTTACTTATTTAGTACTATACTTTTTATGTTCTCCCCTTCAACTTTTAGGCTATACGGGGTTTTCCCAGGGCAAGGGATGAGGGTGAGGGTGTTAATGCCAGAGTTAAAAACCCCAACAGGCACTTGGATGCGAACTCGTACTGATTTTATTCCATATAACTTTGGTTATCAAGTTGCCGAGCAGCGCGCCATGTTGTGCACACGCATTAGCTTGCTTGGCCATCTCGTTTAGGTTATCCTGATGAAGGCACGCAAGAAATAACACAAAAAATTTCTCATTGGTGTGTTATTTCATGACTGCACTTCTCCTTTTCTCCCCCCAACCAACTTCTACAAAACCAATTATAGTAAAAAAGAAATATTTTGAAACACTCTACCTTATTCCTAAAAGTTTTTTACAGAATCCTGAAAATGGCTCGAGAGGACAAAACATTGAATAATAAAGAAATAAAACGAAAACATATGTTATTGGTGACCTTTGGCCTAATATTGTTTAAAAAAAAAAAACACAAAACAAAGTTAATTCTTACCTATTTTCCTAAAAATTACATAAAATGTTGCCTCCTTAAGATATTTTTTGTAAAAACTTTAAAGAATCAAATTATTCTTCAAATAAAAAGTTCGCAACTCCCATAGCAAAAAATAATATTTCAGTTATAAAATAAAAGATACGATAATATGCAAAAAGTTATTTAAAAAAAATATCTGCAACAAATTGTCCAATTTCGAAGAATTTTCAGCTAATTCCTTTTTCTTTTAAATAAGCATACATATAATCCACAAAAAAGAGAGTACTTTTTGAGTAATTCTCAAATAAAATTCTGTATTATTCATAACTTTTTTACCAGATTCTTTTCAGAGAAATATGCTTATTCATCCACTTTGTGTTACTAACAACAAAGTGATATTTTTAATTATTTCAAATAAACAAAATAAAAGAAATTTTGAGAATGAAATTTTGTTGGCTACCTAAATATTGGTCACCATTTGATCGTGCGATATACTAACGAATTATTCACACAGGCTAACTAGTCCAAGTAATTTTATTTGTTACTGATCTGATTTAAGCTCTTTCTTTTATAGTACTCTTTGTTTTTATTTTACCTTATTTGTATGTTTCTTTTTTTTGTGATTGTATTTTTATGAAGAAGGCTTACAAACTAAACAAAAACATCAGCATTAAACAGAAAACAATTTTGTGTTCTTTTTGCTTAATTTTGAACACCACTCTTAACCATCTTCTAGATATAAATACCAGGCCTGGCCAAACCAAACTGCTTCACGGGCCACTAACTGTGGGCCATACATGAAGAAGACATGGCTTTAAAAAATGTAATAAAAAAAAAGATAAAACATCATTGTTAAACTAAAATTTAATATAATTAACTTTTGAGTCTTAATTAATGAAATATTTTTTCATCCTTTCTTTGACTAATTGTTTCCAATAGTTTCAATAATATTTTATGTTTACGGATATCAAATAGAAAGGTGGAGTTCATAGTTCATTCACACTTGCACATGAAAATTATTTAATATTTTTTATAGGAATCCAACTGAAAACCAAAGTATTAGTGGAGATATAAAATTGCTAGGTGGACCACACAATTTAACATAATGGCTAATGGTTGGCCAGGTCAGGTGTAGAACATTTCTTAAAATAATGTTAAGGCTAGAAGTGAAATAAGTTTAACAATAGTCTTCTTCTATTTAATTGTATTTCTCCATGTTTATTTAATTTGAAAAAGTTTTTAGTTGTGCAAAAATTTAAAATGTGCAGAATAATTAGTTACACGAAAAGCATATGAAATTGCACCCACAAACCTTCCTATTTTAATGTTGCAATTGATTTATTAGTTGGCCAAGCAATTAGCTTAAATTTAATATGCATTAAATACATCCATTAATTAATATAAGATGAATGATAAAAAATCTAAAGCTACGTTGTATTCTGTCAAGAATAAAATGATCTTACAAAATACAAACAAACAAAATCAAATTGACTGGATTATCACATGAAATATCGATATTTTGGGGCAAAATTAATAAAACGTGGATGTAATTAAATTTTATCAATCAATCAAAATATACTCCTTGGTTACAACAATTTTTTAAAAATAATTTATTTATTTTTTTATTCCTTCTTATTCAAAGCTCAAAGTGTGAAGAACAATAAATTTCTATATGTAATTTAACACTGCACCAATTTGCAAAGAAGTAATCAGTTACTGATTGGTGAGATGGGTAAAGAATCTCCATTTTTAAGCATTGGAAGTTTTGAACAGACAATCTTGAAACAGATGTTTTTTATATTTGGTATATAAATGAATGAATGAATGTATGTATATAAAATGTATAAAAATATTTTTTATGGTATAAAAATCTTATTCATTGTATAAGAGAATTGGTTATGTTTCTACTTTTAAATTAATATTCTCTTAATAATTAATTGCATAACAATAACAATTACATTCATTGATATCTAATTGTTAACCTTCAAAACTGATATTTCATGTGAAACAAATTATTTATTACACTACTAGAAAACTGTGACCAACTTCAGTAATAAGATGAATATGCTGAAGACATAAATGTATACAGTGTTAAGAGGTTGTACTATGATCATAAGCTCTCAGTAAAAATTGTAAACCTTTCATGAAGAGTAAAAGGTTGTAGGGCTGGGCTCTAATAAGATATCTATGAGGTATATGAATTGGAGGAATAAGATTTTCTTTGCAGCTGAGATTACTGGTATCCAAGCAATGAATGCTCTAGGAATGTCAAGAAGAAATTTTGACACTTCACTTGCTATCATGTGGTTTGAGATGGTTTTAGTTTTTAGGATACCATTAATTTAGAATAGTCTCACTAATTTGGACTAGAAGGGACAGAATTTTTAATTTTTTCAATCATAAATATACTTTTTTCTGCAACTTAATTTTGTTTTTGATACTACTTCATGTATACGTTACGTGATGTGATATAAACATTTGATATAAGCCTGGCTTAGGCCAAAGTCTTTCTTTAAATTATTTTTTTTTATTCCTGTCTATATCAGTGGTAGTTGAATAATATTATAAAGTAATGGTCCACTGATTTCAATAGAATATACGCCAAACTTACAATAAATTATTTCTTGTCACAATAAAGTTTCTTAAAATGATTTTAACAAAAATATCTTTCAGAACAAGATTTCTTCTTGAATTTTAAATTAGCCTGATAGGATAACCAGTGAAGTATTTTTGCATTAATTAATATTCTTTTATTATTTAATGCTTGTACTATTCTTCTTCTTCCATTGGCTTGAAAGACCATTACTGATCCCTGGCCTCCTCCAATAACCTCTACCAATCTGCACGCTGCTGGACAGCAGTATTCCAGTCCCTGACCCCCAGGGTCGTCCGAGCATCTACTATGCTATCCATCCATCTAAGACGCGGTCTTCCTCTATGCCTGATACTATGAATGGCCTCTCTCATTATTTTTCTGGGAATCTTGACACTTCACTAGAATCCTCTTACATTCATGCTACATGGCCAGCCCATCTCAATCTTCCCACCCTTATATGCTTCACAATGTCAGATTCACCAAGGAGGTTATGTATTTCTTGATTACCTCTACTGAGGTATGTTTGACCGACTCTTCTAGGTCCATAAATGTGTCGCATAATTCTACTCTCAAAAGCCAATAAGCTTCGCTGCTTGTACTATTAATGTTTAAAAAAAATGTTTCATTTTTAAAAATTTTTTTTATTACTGTTTTTAAAAAAATAAAAATCTAATGTGATAAAATGAGATATTAAATTTTCTATAGCTGAAAAATAACAATAGCAAGCTTGGGGAACCCAGAATAAAAATCAACAGTCATCTACAAATCATAAAATTGTGCACTGAAGTTATAAATATAATAAAATAGAGTAAAGATACAACATGAAATTAATCAGTATAATTTTAAGTTCAAATGATTTGCAGTAATGGAATATAGACAAATGTACAGATGAAATTTTAGATAGATTGCATTCCAGGCATTATAGAAAGTTTATTAAAAAACTTAACTGCTCACTTGAAGCTTTTGAAATGTTCAAAACTTTGTAGATAATGACTTGAACTGTATCACACCTGAAAATAACTGTTTACATTTATAATGTTGAGAATCTATATAACATTCTTCATGATTCCAGAGAAACAGTTCGAGCTTTTGAGATGAGTTAATATGTTAGTAAATGTTAGTCACTTACACTGAGATTGGGTGAATTTTCACCTGTACTTTGATTACTTTTGCTAAAATCCAGTGGGCAAACAAGTTCGCCGTCGTCTATATCATATTTACTCTTTTTTCTTTTTAAAGTAAATTGTGACTTCTTAGGAATCTAAAACAATTTCAGAAAAAAAAATTAAAACAAAATAATTAAACAATTTATAAGAAATCGTTAAAAAACAACCTAGCTAACACCTAAATATAAAAATACTTTTTTAATTTTATACAATGGCATATTTTTACTTTCACTTACCATATGTATTAACTACTACTATAATACAGATATCATACAGGGGGTTATATATAGGTATAACCAAACTATTTTACCCAGAGTAGGAAGGTTGAGATTCATTCCACGAGTCCACTGTAAAATAAATTTTTGCAAACCCAGGCTGGATTAGAAAGAACTTGAGGTTGTTAAGGCTATGATGCCTTAAAATTCATGGCCACCAGTTATGTTTAAATTGTAAGATGCAAATAGAAACTTTTTGCAATACACCCCATTTCTGACTCTCAGAAGCAATAGATTTTTATTACTGATGAGGAGTAAAAAGAAAGATAATTTGATGGAGAAGTAACCAATCCCAATTTTGATCCTTATATTTATAATGCAACTGCAATAAAAGTGATTAAGAAATTTAAGTGATATCAATCAATACTCAAACTAATAATTTCATGGATCAAGATGGAACAAGTAGGATTTTAAACATCAAGATCCAATTAGAATGTTCCCACAAAACATAATAGGTCATATGTTTTAATGCTCTAAACTTTAATATTTTTAAGATAATGCAGATCAAGCTAATTCTAGTGATAGTGTCTAGTGGTAGCCATTGGATACTTAATAAAATTAAAATATCACTATCTTCTGCACTATATGTATAATTAAAAATCTATTGAAGAAATGAACAAAGGAAAATAGCTCTGAGACCTCATGAGCACCCAGATAATATAGAAACTTTAAAAAACAAACATGTTTTGTGGATTTTAAGTGAAACTTTCCATGGTTGACAATTCTTTTCCGTTTATTAGCTTTTCCTGAATGGAGAGCAGAAAAGCCACAGACTCTTATTCTGGGACTTTGAATCTATTTATAATAATTTAGTTCAATTATGCATACTGGAAAACAATTTGTTTGAAGGGATTATAATTTTAATTTTTTTTTTGTCAGTTCTCAACACATTATTGACAAAATATCAACTCACACCCAGTTAACTTATAAAAAAAAAATTATAAGATTAATGTGGGTGCACATGAAAAATTAACTATCTGTGAAATATCCGCTGGATACAAACTTGGAAAAACATTGCCTAATTATTTAATTTTCCTAAAATTTCATTGACATAGAAATCCAGTAAAATTCCTTTATCTTAACCTTCTGATCAAAGAAAAAGCTTTACAAGCCACATAGAAGTTTGGTCAAAATGCGAGGGTAACAAACTATCAACTAAATGGCTAGATATATTTAAATCATGTCACAATATTCCGTAAGAAGTAACATGTGGAGAGAAAGACTTAGGATTTGCACTTACTTTGTTTCTTAATGCTAATTCGGAAAAATAGATTTGCATCATGGAGAAGGAAAGATATATAGTGCGAGAGCTATTGAATTATAATTACTGCTAGCATAACTCATTTCTGTTTCCGAGCAAGAAATAATTTATGTAATTACTGATTGAAAATGTTATTATTGCATTAAATAATCTCATAACTATACAAAGATATTAATGTAAATGTTCAAACCTTGGCCTTCGATGTGGTAGTAAGAGGTATATAACCCAAAACAGTTTCTGCTTCTCTCTTTTTCTGCATAATATCGTTTCCTACAAGATCTTTGAAGTGAGTTGAAAGGTGCCTTCGCAGGAGAGTTTTTTCTTGTGGGATTGAAAGAAGAGCAGCGAGAAGATTGTCAGTAAACTTTTCCTCATGAATCATAAGCCCACCATGCACACCTGGCAAATAAATAATTTATAATAATCTCATGAAAATTACAGGTGGGCAAGTAGTCGACTGATCAATTATAAACATGAAATAAAATTGTCAGGAATTTCAGTCACAATTTTTTTATTACTGTAAATTATTTTATTTTTATCATCTGGGATCTTGTCTTGACTTCAAACCTAAGTATGATAACCCTGATGATGACCCACATGTTTAGGTTGAAAAGTTGGCTAATCCAATTATAAAAAAATTGTGTCTGAAATTCCTGGCAATTTTGTTCCATCCTCATACAAATTACATTAAATCTTATTTATTTTTATTAATTATTAAATACAAATTAAATAGGTATTAATTAAATACAAATTAATTTTTTTAAAATCTTATTTTTCGTTATTAGTATCAGTAGATGAAAAAATACAATAATTATAAGTTGAACAATCATGTAATTTCCAATAGTTTTACTAATAAACTGGTGGTAAAAAAAGCCGTTGCCTTCAATTTTACACAAAAACCGCAGATTAAAGAATTATTTTTAGGCTTGAAGTGATAACAGATATATGACAGTTAAAAGAGAATTATCATCCATTAATCGTTTCAAGAAAATTTCACATTTCTCTCTAGGATTAACGATAAAAGTATTATAATAAAATATGGACAATATATCAGTTTGTCTCTAGTTGCCTGTAACATAGGTTTTGCTTTTTATATTTTCTTTTCTTTTCTTTGGGTATTGCTTTTCTTTAAAAACAACATTTCATTTGTATCAAACATTTTAAAAATATAAAATGGTTTTGGATCCCGTGGCAGCCACTTAAATTACTGTTTTAATTGAGAATGGCCGAAGTCAACGATACATGGCCTGAATCCACAAGCTGCTTGAAACAACGGTTCGGCGGGAAGTCCAGAAGTACCAGGAGACAGGAACCTAGGCTAGGAGGCCGGGATCAGACCGTCCAAGAGCGACAAGTCCAACTGATAATAGCTTCATTGTTATGTAGGCCATAAGAAACCACACCCAGACTTCAGTTGAGACATGCCTACTAGGATTCCCGCTTGTAGTTCTTTACTCATCATAGCACACCGAGATGTTCGCCTTCATTTTGTCGTGAACGCGCTGCCTGGGCAGAAGATGACTTGGTCTCTGTCATGTTTTCTAACCAGTCCAAATATAACCTTTTTGGTGAAGATGGATGAGTTCAAGTGTGGAGAAGACCAGGTAAGCAATATGTTCAGTGCAAAATAGTGGAAAGAGTGTAGTTTGGAAGGGGATCAATGATAGTTTGGAGTAGAATATGTTTAGATTCAAGAACAGTGTGACGAAGAATAAAAAAAAATAAAAAAATTAGTTCACTCTAAGAGGGTTAGCTAAAAATAAATTAGTTTTAAATATTAATTTTAAGTCATGGTAATAGCAAACATATGATTGGGGGGAAAAAAGACAGTTTGGGGATATATGGCGAAACTTCGCAAGTGTAGAGGCATGCTAAGAAATTGTGTATGAAACACTTGGTTTTATGGTTTACGCCGGATTTTCATTTTTCCCCACCTGGAACCTTTTTTTTTTTTTTTTTTTTTTTTTTTTGTTCTTCCCTTCCTCGCCGTTAAGGCTATACGGGATTTTCCCGGGCCAGGGAGTGTGGGCGGGGATTTAAAAGACTCCCCCGGCACCGGGACGCGAACTCGTGCCTATTTTTATGTCTATAATTCATATGTCAGGTTGCCAGGCAACGGCGGTGCAGTGCACACGCTTTAGCCCATTCGGCTACCCCGCCCACAACCCCCCCCCCCCCACCTGGAACCTGTGATTGTCAGTGACATGTGCGGCTTAATTTTTCATGTTGGAGAATAAACATTTTCACAGATTGAGGAGCTGGACCGGGGAGACCCTGATGACACCAGCTTGAATAAGTTCCCGCTTCCTCAGATAACTCAATGTGCCAATTGGACTAAGTTCACCATTGGGATTTTGTAAATATGTACATATAACTTTTTTTTTCTATCTTTTTTTTATAAACATCATAATTGGTGTATTATATAGTTGTAGGTTTGTGCTTAATTCTATAATCTTTTCATATTCATTTCTTTGATAATTAAAATTTATTGTATTTTTTTTTGTTTTCTTATAAATCTAATTTCTTGTTCATAATTTTAATTTCCTTTAACTGCTATTTAAGTCAATATAAATAAGTAAATTCATTATCAGTATTAATGATAGACAGTTTTATTTCCTTATTTTTCGTTTGTTTGTTTTCAGGTTTTATGTATATATTATATTGTTTTTTTTTTAAAAAGGTTTAATAAGGAATCTTAGGATGCCCATCTCTCAACAACAGAACCCTCCATGTAACTTCCAAGTATTTGAATGGGATCATATACAAGAGTGGGTAGCCAACCTTATTCGTAGTATGCCTACGAGAGTACAGGTCGTTATTGAAGCAAAGGGAGGCAGGCAACACTAGATATTAAACTTTAATTTCATAACTAAAAAATAATTCGATGCATTTTATTTTTGTTTAAAAGAGTGTCCTTTTGCTTTATTTTAAATTACAGATTTTGTAAATTGAATTTTCTTTGATTTCCTCTTTTTTATTTATTGATTATTTTATTTCCTTTATTTGTGGTTTACTAAAAACACAATATACCACACTATGTTAAGGTAAAAAAAAATTTTAACTTGCAATTTTTTTTTCTAATGCGAAAGAACTTAGAATGACCATCAGTGTATTTTAAGTAAACTACAATATCTACACGATAAATATGTTATAAAAAATTTGACAGATTAGTTTTACTTCAACTCTTTCAAATAGACCTGACAGAAAACAAAACACTTCTTTTGCTCCAAAGTATACTAGTAATAAAATATTTAAATCCATAAATCATGTTTATGTTTATCCAGATGTTTATGTAACAATGATTACCAGATCCTCGGAGATTGGGAGCATATTCGGCAAGATCAATAGCTCTTAACCACTCCATAACTCTATGATTTGTCCATAATTCTACTCTTTCTTCAGCTTCAGGGTCTGACCTCCTTACAAGGCAATGTGGGTCAAAGCTCTCTTTACGAAGAACCTGAGAAAATAGCAATTAAACAAAACTAAATTATATATAAATTCTTTTAAAGAAGCAAATTAATAATTAAGATTACAAAGTGATGGAAAATATTAATAATTTTACAATTGAAAAAATATTCAAATAATGATTTTTAAACAACAAAATTTAATAGAAATTGAACATTATCACTAATATTTGATTTATTGGTGGCTTAGTGATATTTTTCTGTTTAGAAAGTTAACAAATCTTTATTTCAGGCTAAAAAAAATTTACAGAGCCAGGGAACAGTAGGTTTCGATGTCTAGTTTTCTACCTACAGTTTTAATTTTAAGTGAAACAACAATATAAAACTGTTAATAGTAGTATTTGGTAAATATGTTTTCCAATACTTAGATCACTTAAAAATACAATAATAAATACAACAAAAATACAATTTAATATTCGAAATCACATTACATACATTATAGATGCAACTTTTTTAAAATTAATTCCTTGCTTCCCTTCAAATTGCTTCAAACTAAAACTAGCTTTCCAATTAGACTAGTATATCGGTATTCTTCCCTCACCTTTGTCGGCTTGTATATCATTCTGAGAATCTTTCTTTCTGATCTCGGTAATGATTCCATATTGGTAAATCCTATAGCCTCCGCCCAATAGAATATCACCGGTTTTATGTTTCATAATGTCTAATTTTGAATTTCCTGGAAAGATTCTTTTTATTATATAAAATCATGACTAAAAACCTTAATTTATCCGCTTTTACTTCCCTATTCTGTATTACTTGCATGCCTCTTCCATTGTAGTTAATGAGTTCTCCAAGGTACTTAAACTGTTTCACCAATCTGATTTTCCATATTTAGTATTGATTTTTTCCCTAATTAATTATATATATATATATATATATATATATATATATATATATATTATATATATATATATATATATATATATATATATATATATATATATATATTGTTCACTTTTCACCATAAGTGCTACATTATCCGTGAAAGCCAAGCACCTGATTTTTACTCCTTTCTCCCCGTCCCCTATCCTTACACCAAATTTATTGGATTTCGAAAATGTTCTCATAATTATGTGAAAAACTATATTGAACAAAATAGGTGATAATCCGTCTCCCTGTCTAAAATCCTGTTTTAATTTCGAACGGTTTACTAATTTCCTCCTAGGATTTAATTTTAGAGTATGTCTCAGTTAAAGTTAGTTTAATAGTTTTCTGATCTACTCTGTATTCCCTTAGTATCCGAACAAGTGTTTCTCTATCCACCGAATCGTGGGCTTTCTGGAAATCCACAAAGGAGACATAAATTTTTTTGAGACATCCTCCTTGGTATTCTCCTATCTGATGATGATTAGTGGTTCTAATCTATTTAAGAGAGCTCTTGACAGAATTTTGTATGTTACTGTAAATAACAAAATCCCTCTATAATTATTTGTATCTGTTTTCGCCTCTTTTTTATGTAGCGGATGTATTAGTGTCATTTCCCATTCTTCTAGTATTTCTTCGTTCTCCCAGATTTCCTACATAAATTCTGTCATTTTAATAATGTATCCTTCTTCTGTGCATTTCCACATTTTGACTATTATTCCGTCTTCTCCAGTCGCTTTATTTTTTAATGAGTATGCAATCTCTTTAATTTCCTTGATTATCGGTGGTGAACTATTCAGGTTCTGTGGACTGTCTGTACTTGTTTTTAGTTAGGTTTTAGGTTCTTCACAATTTAGTAAGTTCTTAAAATATTCAGCAAGTATCTCGTGATTTTTCCTGTCCTTCTGTGCTATTTTCCCATTTTTCCTCTGAAAATTTAGGTTTAGAGCTGTATATGCTTTAATTTTGTATTTGAAGTCCTATAGAATAATCCTGTGTTCTGTTTCCTGAAAACTTCCTCTATTTCCTCGATCTGTCTTTAAAGGTACATTATGCTCGTACGCCTTATGGTATTATGGGCATTCTTTTTGGAGCACTTTCAAATTATTTTCTGTTTTTACACCAATATCAAATTTTCTCTAGCCTCTCCCGAACCGCTTCTTCAATATACATATATATGTATATATATATTTATACTTATAGTATTGTTGGTTGGGACTTCAATTCTATTTGTAATAAAAAACACATTTGATCCTTAGCTCTACTTTATTATTATTTTTTTTTCTATTTAAAGTTTATTAGTTTAGGAGAACAAGAGGCTCTATTTACAAATATGAAATTTTGATTTATGAACATATTTTTTAAGCAACTTTTTAGGATCGTTTTAAACATATATAAAAGGTAGAATATAATATTTTATAATATAATATAATATAATATATATAATATCTTATTATTTTTACATTCAATTTAAAATGAGCCAAAATCTTTTGATGGGTATGGAAATTTCATTGTTAGTTTAGACAATTAGCCAGGGGTTGGTAAAAATCATAATTAAGAATATCAATTTAGTAAGAAGTAGTCAACATTGAAAATAAACAATTGAATACCTGAATGCCTGTCCTGATGCTGGCTACATGAAGAGCTAGACTAATATGGAGGGAATGTAAATCATCAAGGGTTAGTCGATGGAGAACCCTGCCATCTATCCTCGCCGACATGAAGCCTGCCTTGTATTGAGGCAGCCCAATGTCATCCAACCAGCGCAGGACCCACCCTGCCTCCAGCCTCGATGCACTGCTCAACAGCGGGTCGCTGCCGGATCCTCGCTCAGCCTCCAGGGCCAAGTGCAACTTTTTCCTCAGAAGGCCATTCTAAATAAATTTATTTCAATTTTAATAAAGCTGATGGTTGTTGTGCATTAGTTTTATTAAATTATAGTATATTTAAAAAAAAATCTTTAAGTGAAAACTGAAAAAATACATAGTCCATGATATTTAATTCTTAATTTTAATTTTTTTTTAAAATTCTTGTACATGTTTAAACATAATATTACATGAGCAATACTTCAATCTCATTAGTAATTAATAGAAGTGGAATTCAGAATAAATTATTTACTATCATTTTTGGATTCAAAAGAAATAGACAAATAAAATAAATTAAGATATCTTTCTAGATAAACAACTTTGGGTCAAGATATATTAATTCTATCAATGAATTTAGTTTCTTTATTTTTAATTCTTTAATTATACGGTGGACTGTCTAGTGGACTTGAGCTTAGACTGAAAAGACTAATGAATTGTTTCATTAGATTTATCTGCGGAGTTCCTAGGTGCTCCCACTTCTCCAGTCGGTATTCCGACTTGAAGTGGCTACATCCAGTTTCTCGATAGCAATATTTCCTAGGTGTATTTCTTTTCCGAATCTTTACAACCAGAAAACCTTCATGCCTTCTTGACTTGTTCACTATTTGTTCCTCTGTCCATTCTTTCAACACGGGATATAACCTGTATATTCCTTCTCATAAGACAGTTTATTTTGAAAAAAGCCTATATAATGCGTGCTACCTTGTTTTGGAATTCCTTACCCACCACCACCAACTGTTTCTCCATCTCCTCGGCCATCAGTCTTCCAAATATTTATTAGAATTAAATATGTTACCAATACGATTCAAATGTTAATTCAAAAATATTATTGGGTGATAAATATTCAGGACGCAGTCTTTTTTAATTTAATTTTTTTTTATTTTTGCCAACGTTTCAACCCAAACATGTGGGTCATCTTCAGGGCGTGGTTTGAGCACTGAGGGTGTTCAAGTACCTGTCATCCTGGCTTATCTCAAGCTCTACACCGCTCGCACTCAGCTTATTTGTCATCTTCTCCTAAAATTCATTCGGTTCTCTCTCCAGATACTTCTAACACCAAAACAGAGGTAAATTGCTTCCCATTTCTTAAAACTACATACCCCTCCCAAAAATCTGTTATAAATCGTTTTTCCCATTTACACAAAAAATTAGCACATAAAGAAGAATCATTAATCTTTCTCCTAAAATGCAGATTGCATTCTTTATTTCCAAATTTTATCACTAATAATATCAACGAAGTTAAAATCAAGAAGGTACTTGAACACCCTCAGTGCTCAAACCACGCCCTGAAGATGACCCACATGTTTGGGTTGAAATGTTGGCAAAAGAAAAAAAAATAAAAAGAAAAAAAATAAAGAAGACTGCGTACTGAATATTTATCACCCATATGCAGAACAGTCGACTAACTTCCTTCAAAAATATTATTTATACTGCTAACCGTGCAAATATGTAAACAAACAAATATCAATTCACCTATAATTTCATCGTATTATATGAATATTTAGAATAGCCCTTTATATTAATTTAAAAAAAAAAACTCCTTTTTTTATATTTTCTGTATATATGGCGTGAATGTGTTCATTTATCACTATAAATATTGACCACGAGACAGAATATTATATGTCTAAATAAATAAACAAATAAAAAAACAACAACTCCTAATTATTATTATTATTTGTCAGCCATTATGTGCCAGACAAATCTATATTATAATGTAACTATCATTGCACATGTTTGTTATTCTTAGGGGACTAAAAGTTCCAGAATAAAATTTACTTTCTTCTTCTTCTTCTGTAATAATTGTTAAATGGACTGCCATTAGGAGGACAGAGAGTGCCCTCCATAGTAATTTTAATAAAAATAAATAAATAAAATTGATTTTTATTCCTACAAATTCAATGATTTCAAATGAGCATACATGTACAAGTATCCAGTCAGTAAATTTATATGTTTTTATTGAGCTTTAATATTTTATTGACAGAAGGTTATCCAAACACCCTCCCAGCTAGCTGCAATTAGTTCAGGTTACTGAGATTACACTGTAATAACAATCAAATAGTTGACACCCATGGATCTTTGTTTAAAATTTTGTCATTTCTCCCTCTTGTTTTCTCATTAGCAGCTGTGAATAACTTATAAGTTTATAACCTTCTTCACACATTTTTCAGTTTTTTATCACTCATTTAAAATCTGGTGATACAGACAAACAAATTTTTCTGGTACTACTGTCAATATATAACCAAAAGTTTCATAAAAACACAAATGTTTTGACTATCAAAAACAATGAAATATGCTTTACAATAATTTTAATTTCCTAATATATATTAGTTTCTATTATTAACAGTTCTAGGTTAGAAAATATAATTAAAAAAAAAAAAAAGAAACATCAAATAGCAGTTCATTTTTCTTCTATTTTTGATTTATCTATTACTTATGATTGGAAAAAAATTACATGAAAGATTTAAAATGAAATAAATGTCCTTTAATTACCTTGATATTAAGCTCTTTATCAATTTCATGAGGAGTAGCAGACAAAAGACTGCTGCCGGACTTAATCCACCTCCTAGCTTCAGGGATACTACTGTCAAGACCGATTTCTTTTAGCCAATCACAAATATAATCTATGTTCCACTCAGCAAAAGGAACTTCGCTCCTACAAAAAAATTAGTGTACTTAACTCATTAATGATTCCTGATAAAAGTATAACAACATAAAGATAGCTTTTTATTTCAATAATAATAAATATTAAAGTTTTATTTAATTACTTATAATTCTAAAACGGGGCCGGTATAGCAGAGTGGTTAGCGCGCTATACTAGTAAATTAAAGATCATAGGATCGAATCCCGGCCCTACTTCCCAATACGGCTGGTCCCCGCGGGAAGTTAGACCATTACCCTCTTAATTGGGGAGGCCTACAGGTGTAATACTTGTAAAAACAGGCTATACAAAAAAAAAAAATTCTAAAACAGAATAATAGAATTCATCTCTTCCGAATTCAAGGAAAGAGACAAGAGATCAAATTCTAAATATCTTTTATTCATAGAGTTATTGGAAATATACCAGATTCAGTAAATTATAAATACTAACTAATGCCAAGATTGTCTCTGTAGTATCAACGCGACCTACGACTGGTATAAACTTGTTTTTCATTTAATCTTGGCGTATCCATCATCAGTTCAACTGGTCCATTGCCAAGGTGGGAGGGACACCTTTAGTTCTTATGACAGCTCCTCGTAGACATATTATTAATGGTTGATAGTACCAATAATTTTAAAACCAAATATTGCTCCAACACTCGATAGATGCTGTCATAATATTTGTTAAAACTATTTTTTTTTTTTATTTATTATTTCCACCCTTCCATGGCATTGTGGCTATGCGGGCGAATGTTAAACACTGCATAATATCAGACTATTGCAATGATTCACAGCTGTGCACACAGCTAGTTCTTTTTACTGTCCTGTACTTCAAAAAATTAAGCCTTGTTACCAAAATCCAGGTACTGGTCCTCTTATCCTTCTGTGGGCCCCTAGGTTGAAGTAAGCTGGATCCACTGCCATCTTCCAGCCATTTATGAAATATTTGAACCATGGGAATTTTTCCTCACTCACCAACTGAGGAAACTTTTCTTAGGTGAGGATGTAAACTCCCATGGTTCTTATCAATCCAATAGTCCGGTGAGATTCATTTTGCTTGTAATCGAGAGTGGACGGTAGGAAAGTATTTTCTGAAAGTTCTCCCATTTGGAGTCGTCAGCCACCTCCTACTCCATTCTTCAATTGTTTTCTCCTGGATTATGTTTTTCAAAGATCCTCATCCGTAGGTTCTCCAAAAGACTTGCTGAGCGCTCCCTCTTGTAATAATACCTGGTCACTTCTTCTCACAGGAGGAGTTCGAGAGGCACCAACCCCGCTAGGACCTGCACTGCTTCATGTGATGTAAACCTATATGCTCTGGTGATCTGAAGCAGAGCTGTCATCTGATTCGATGATAGCTTTTTCCTCTACTTCCTCTAATATATAAGTGGTTCCTCGGGATATCCTCTACAACACCTTTATAGATAGTGATTGTGGGCAGATACTTGAGATCCCAAATGTGCTCCTCACGCAGCTTAGACCATTCATTGCTGATTGTTATCTTGTATTACATATTTATATTAGGGTATTGATACTAATGTTTTGTGAGTAGCTCAGCGCTTTCCTATCACAAAGTCCTGATGAAGACCTTGTGAAGTAAATCAAAACTTAGGTTCAATAAAATAGTTTACACTATTTGAATAAGGTGACCAGATTTTAACATTGCTAAAACAGGACACCATTGATAGGGGAGGGAGAGAGGGGAGAGGTTCTTGATTAAAAATTTGGTTTATCAGGTCTTAATAATAGTTCGAATTTGTTGTTACAATAACTAATTTTACATAAAGATAATCTGTACAACTGTTAATCAGGTGACATAGTAATGATCTGAAATAATGATGAGAATTTAGTTCTAAAGGGCGTATGTTAGACAGTGAATAATTTGATGATGTATTTAATGTAAAATTTACCTCTTTAATAATAGCACAGACTTAAATGTTTTGTGCTAGCAGTTTCTATACAATCAAATAGCCCTTTTTCAAAATTTTATAAACTTAGAAGATGACAACATTTAAGTAAACGAAGTAATAAATAAAGTTAATTTGCTAATGACCAAACTTTAACCTTGTCCTTATCAATATATTTTTTAAATAACGATACCTCATTAAAAAGATCATTTTTTGGGTTGTTTATTATCATTAAGTCCAAACAATAGTGGTTGAATTTCAACAAATAATCAAAAATGCGAACTTTACCGAGCAGTTTTTGATAACCAGTTTTTAACAATTATTTGTAATTATTAAAGTTTAACATTATAAAATTAATAAAAATAATATATAACTCATATCCTGGCGAAATAGCTGCATGACCACCGAAAACCATATATTCTCTTCCCATTCTTCTACTGTTCCCCTAGTCATGCATTCTTTCTGAAAATCAGAACTTTTCCAAAATGCCACAGGACCCAGAACAAATTGTTAAAAAGTGAGATGTCTCGTCATCTTATATTAGAAGAAATTTATGACATCCACTCTGGACCAGATGGTCTTTCATAATTACATTGTTTGGATCTACTATCTATAGTTCTCCTGCAAATAGTTTGCAGCTTAAGGGCGTACTCATATGACATCATATAAAACACATTATTACTAACAAAATATTCACGAATATATACATATATTAAAACATAATATCATAATCTGTTAATCTATGTACATGCAAATAAATACTTTGTAATTAATATTAGAGGATTAGTTAAAAAATAAAATCTTAGTTTCAACTTAATGTCACATGCCGTCCTTGGGCTGTCAAATATTCATGTTAGAACTATAGAAACTCGTAAGAATTAAGAATTCTTCAAACTTTTACAGGAAACAACATAAAATAATCAATCAACAGTCATAAATATTGTTATATGTAATAATATTAAAGACGAGATACCTGGCAGTAGACGTTGTACTTCCACAAAGCCTAGGCCCGGCAGTAGATCTGATTCCACCCCTGGTGAAAGGTTCGTCCTGAGGCAGTTCATCGAGATTTCCTGAACCACTTCTCTTTATTCTATAAATAACATCATAATTGAAAAAAAAATAAAATAAAATAAAAATTATAATATAAAGAAATAGGAACTTACTTTCCAAAAATTTTTCTTATCCCTTTTGGCGCACTGGTTTGCATTGAAGGGCTTGATTCTTGGGAATAGCTTTCTCCTATTTCCTTATCATTCATTACTGTTTCAGTTTCAGCTAATATCAGTAATTTATTAGTAAGAAAGATAAAAACAATTTATTTTTATAATAAGAATAAAGCTAACTAAAGAACAAAAAAAAAAAAAAAGCTTCAAGCTTCATGCATCATGAGCTACAGGAATATAACAGAATTGTATAAACGGTGCAGGATATATTCAGTGTAAGTGTATTCACAAACATAGATTTATATTTTGTAAAAGAAAATAATTAAAGAAATTAATTATCTTATGGATCACAGGAAGTACTTTTTTTTATAAAAATAAAAAATCATTAAATCAAATATTTAATACTTTAAATAGTTAGAAGCAAATAGCGAGTATAATACTTTAGGGGGTTAAGATTTTTCATTAATTATAGTTGAATAATTCAATTATCTTAAAACCATTAACGTTAAAAAAAAGTACAAAAAAAACTGTGTTTTTGAAACAATTTAATTTATTTTTCTAAGAGCCTATATTCATTTGATATTAATGCTTTATATATTTTCAATTTCAAAGACCTTTTAACCTTTATCAAACCATTTATTCACTATTTGAGTGAACATTTCAGACATAATCCTAATATCCCTCTTCAAAACCTTTATATTTTATTATTTTATATTAATTATGATATTTATCAATTTTCTCTTTTAAATATACTTTTTAATTTTATATTTCAAAATATTGAAAAAGAAACAGAAAATGACAAAAATATTCTGAAATATAAAATTAAAAGGTTGATCTAAAAGGGAAAATTGATAAATATCAGAATGTATTTTATATTTTTTTAAATATAAATTTAATTTGTATTTGATATATTAAGATTGATAGTGAAATGAGTTTTAAAAATATCAAGAAAAGTTCAACAATATACATTTTTAGACACTGTTTCAAATGGATAATAAAAATAAATCAATGCATAAGATAATGAAGTGAAAGATCATTCAATGACTTTTATAGTACTACAACTTAATATTCGTGGCATGCTGAATTTTATAAAACATTATTTGAAAGTCACAGAGTAATTTGGTTTTCAATATGCATCATGCGCAACAATAGCTGTGTTTGCCTTTATGGAAGTAAATAAAATTTAATACATAAATTCAAATAAAATGTTAAAACATATAAAAGATAATTTACAAAAAAAACAAAGATAGAAAGCCTGTATTATACAATACTTTAGATTAATTATTATTTCAAGTACATAGTACAGAACTAGTTTTAAACATATATACATTTATAAACATAAATTAAACAAAGCTTTGTTAGTTTTATAATAATATTGACTTTTTAAACTGTTTGATATTTATAAAAATATTAGCATAGCAAGATTAATAGGGTAAATGAAAGCTAAAATATGTAAGTTAATAAAGGCCATTCACATACTTTTTGTTCTCAAATTCATACTTCAATTATGCTGGACTGTACTCGTATGAAACTAATGAACTCGATTAAAGATCTTTAAAACTGGTTTAGAGTTCAGCTGCCTCAGTAAAAAATACTTCTATTTCCTATAATATCTTTAATTAAATAATAATGATAAATTTAAAAATAAAATAATCATATAAAAGTCATAACTAAAGACTGGATGTTTGTGTAATACATTTTTTTTTTCTCTAACTATATATAACTATAACAGGACCTTAGTCAAATCAACAACAAATCTACATACATATTTTTTCTTGCAAAATTAAAAACATAAATTGGGGGTCTCATGTTGGTTTGGCATTAATCTGATTGTACAAATATTTTAAATTAAAATAATTAGTAGAATTGATATTGAAAATAATAATGGTAAAATTTTCATGGTTTTTATAAGTCTTGATAATAGGAGGTGGGGATGAACAATTGTTGAACAATTAAATAAATTGGAAACTCCAATGATGGATTTATTTGAGCTCCTTGGAACAATTAATTATTATTGGAATAAAATTCCTGTATTTTATAGCACAACTTTTTCTATATTTTTGTTAGTTTTTCTTCAACTATTTTCCTAATCCTTTAATATATAAAATTCTGATATAATTTTCAGAATTAGTTCTTATTGGAAAAGTACTAATTCTTTAAGAAAGGAAATATTTTGATTTACTTTATATTGATATATTTTACAAGTATCCAAAGTCCAATAGTAATGGCCTGCTTCTGAAGTTTAGAAGAAACATGAAATGTGTCCATTCCGAAATTGCCACGGTGCCAAAAATCATCATATTAAGGTTTTAACCATATCATAATTGAATATTCAGTTTTAGAAGACCCATAATTTAAGAATTTTAAAGAAAATTGACCAACTATAAAATCTCAGAGAAAATAATTTAAACCAAAAATGACTTTATATTTTTTGAATAATTGGAGAATTATAAGTAAAATAATTTATTTTCCGAAAGTAAGAAATTCATAGTTAAATTTGTTATAACTATAAAAGCAATATGTTTCAAATTATAACAAAGTTCGTCAACATATAATAAATTATATCAGCTTCAAGCTCTATGATAACTTCAAGCTCTATAATATACTACAAGATTTAAAGAGGTTTTATGCATGCAAATCCAGTGTTTAGTTATGACAATACATCCTTCAGTTAAATTTAAAGACAAAATTATAACCTATATTTAATTAAACAATATAAATAAACTTAACATTATTATTTTAATAAGTATACGAGGGAAACCGAAAAACATGGAATAGAAAGATTTCATTTTGACATTAAAAATAATTTAAAAAGGCAAAATTGATTTTTTATAAAAGATTTGTAAGATTTTTAATTTATAAGAAATATAAAAACATGTTCTATTGATGAAACTTATTTATCAACCTAAGCAAACTATAACATAGTTCTAGAGGAATGCAATGTTCGATTCTAAAATGAAAATAAATACTATTAATACTAATAAAAGAAAAAACAAGATATTCAATGGTCTGTTTTTAAAACTAATTAAATCTATAAAATATGGTCTGAATAAAAAATGGGAATTCTGTAAGGTGTGCACAAATAATTTTTAAAAAAGAATAGTCAATTAATACACATTAAATGATCTAAAAGCGGGGATGCAAGAGACGCTGTTAAAGATTACAAGCGGTGCAGCTACTGGTGATAAAATAAAATAAACCGTTCAAGAGTGTGCTCGAGGGGGTAAGTGAGACACACAGTGCATATGAAAGCGGGCGAGTGTGTGTCACCTAGATTAGGGACGGAGGAGCATCGCGGATGGTCAGTTGGCCTACCGAAGACAACAGCTCTCCTTAGTCCTGAGTCTCCCCCACTAACTTGTTCTCGGGGAAGGCTTCTATAGCCAGCTCCAAGTGCCTGCTACAACAAAACAATTTTGTAGAAACAAACTTTTTACAAAACTGCAACATCTTAATTTAATATTATTATTTTACAAGTATAATGATTGATTATTTTCTTATATAACTTTCATAAGTCCCACATTAAATATTCTATCATACTTGGTTCCATGTTCACATCAAATAATTTTTCAACTACTTTAATACATATCCTATCCTATCCTGTATCATAACAACCCATGAAAGAGCTTGGGGTTCAGCACTTTGTAAAAGAGTATTGTTTCTTGGTCAAGGGTTGTGCAAGGAGATGATATGATAGAGATTACAATCAACTGTCAGGTTTTCCCTCCTATAAATAATTACTTAATTAAGGGTACCCACTTAATAGAGGCAGGGTGTGCCTCAGGAGAACCTCCAAACCCATGGCATTCCACAGCCAATGAGACAGAATAAATAATTTATCTACCATCAGCCGAGATTTGAACCTGGGACCTTCAGCACTAGAAGTCAGCGCCCTATTACCAAGCTACCCCATTCCTAACTACTTCTACTAATATAGAAAATTTATAAGTACTAATTTCAATAAAGCAATATTTATAAAATGTTCCATAAAATATTAACTTACCATTACATACTGCAAATGGTATGCATGTTATCAAAACAAAACAAAGAACAATTGAAAACAGAATAATAAAACTTGTATTAAAAACTAATTAATAAAAACATAAATATTGGAAGTGATGAATGACAACCTATAATAGTTTGAATTTTATTATTGTTTCATAAGAATTTATATAAAGGAATAATATTTATCAGCCTTTATATCTTTGTATTGAATGGTCATTAAAACTTTCAAATTTATATTAAAATTTTATAAAAAAAGTTAATAAAACTAAAAACTTGCAATGAACGATATTTCATAAACTAATTTGACGAGAAGATCATCCCCACCATGTTTAATAACAAATGTGAAAAATTTACTCTTCCAAGTCATATTTATTTATCCAAGTCATACTGCTATTAATTTATCAGAAATATTTTTGAAAAATCAAGTCTTATAAAGCCAAACCTGGTCAACCTCAGAGACGTATTTATTAAGGTCCAGAAATATAAAATATTTTCAATGGAAAATTTAAAAATAACTCTTAAAATTCATAACCTATCCATTATCTTTATAGTCATTTTTATCAATTGTAATGAAAATGGGTCACTAATGCATCATTAGTATGTCTGGTGATAAGTGATTTTTAGCATCATTTTCAAAAAATATACTTACTAAGTTAAAAGTTAACACTTACTACTTGCAAGAACTAAAACACTGATAAAAACAACAATGCAATGTTAGAAAAGTGTTTTATTTTTAATGATCAGCTAGACGAAGCCTTAAAATGAGACAAAGTAGAATAAGCTAGTTTATCAATATATCCTATATAAAATATGCAAGCTGAAATCAAATGTTTTTTTTTCAAATATTTTTTCTACCTAAGATATTTATTTAAAGAAGAGTAATTTTACGATTATTTGTTTTTAATTTGTAAACAAAACTGTTTTTACAACTGGCCATTTGTAAACCCAAAAAGATATTAAAAAAAAATATCAAATTTTAATAAATATCACTACATAACTAAAAAAAGAGACATGAAATGTTATATAATAATAAAAAATTAATACCCTTTGTGACGTAGGTGTTGAATCATAATCCAATTTTCTTACTCCATGGCCTATCGATACAGGACTGGGAGAAGGTGAAAGACCTCGAGCTTTATCCTGTTAGTATCATAAATTATAATTATATAGTAAAACTATGAAATAAATAAAAAATGTAAAAAATAAAAAAGAATGAGAGCCCAGATCAAAGAAATATTGAGTTGATCATCAGCTGTATTATTACAATCCTAGATAATTGCAAAAATTAAAAAATATTAACAAACCAGAGCATTTGGTGTAGATGCTGATGTTGGGTAGAGATGGCTTCTTGGAGCTAAAGGTGGTTTGTTTTTCCTCCTTTCTTCTGCTAACCTTTCCCTAAGGTCTATGTTATCCCTTTCCAGAGCAGTTTCATGACGTTTCAGTTCAGAAACAACAGCCAATAACTCCAATTTCTGCGTTTCAAGCGAAGATCTTGTCAGCATTTCCTAACACATAATTAAGATAAAATTTTATTCAAGAGAAAACAATTTTTTTTAAAATATATCTGTTAGACATTGATAAATACCCTAGTTCATTTTTTTAAGACACTGAGTTTTAAATAATTTATATTTTTTATTTTTCTTCCAGTTCCAATCTCATGTTAAATAAAAATAGAAAACTTTTATTTGGAAATGTGAATTAATTAATAGGTTATAACAAATGGAAGATATAAAATCCTACATTTTTCCTGTTTTCGACTAAATGTATTGAGTATTATGTTAAATACTTAACTGTTTTTATTGAATAATTATACATCTTATCTCAAACAAGAGTTATGGTAATAGTACGAAAATAGTACATTAACTCCATATTTACAGAAAATATAAATAAATAAAGATATGAAGTATTGAAAAGAGGAAAAAAAAATCTTTGAAAATTAATATAAAAAACTTTTAGTAAAGGTGTAATAATATTGATTTATTCCAAAATTGTTTTATTTAGTAAATGGTAAACAAGTGATTAGATATATTTTCCATAACTAATAAACGAAACAGCCTCAGATAGGGCCAATAAACATTTTTATTTTTATCCTATTATCAACTTTTCAACCAATAATTATCCATCTAAAAGCTGAATTTCAAATTTTTTTTTCCCGTTAATAATAAGTAATGCTAACAATTTTTAAAGTTGTTTTTATTTTATATTGTTTAGTATTAAATGTAAAAAAAAAAACTGAATAAATAATTTTTTTACTACTGATAAAATAAGTAAGAAAAGGTTTTGGGTTGAACTGATGACAGGATTAATAACTGCTAGTAATGAGGATTTGAGACAATTCTAAGAAATTTTGATACTTGCTGGCTATTAACTTAGTATTTTCACTATATACCATAAAATCATTCATTTAAACGGCAAAGGGTTTCAAAAAGAAGAGAAAAACATGATAAGTATGTTACTGATATCATATTACTCTTTGGAGAATGTCTTCTGAAGTAGTCAACTGCCTTTTCTGACTTTCAATCATCCTTTCTAGATCGGATATCTTTTCAGCTTGAGCATCAACTTGGTCTGTAAGTACGGCTACTTGCAGGGTCAGTGATTCCCTGTCACTTTCAAGCCTTCTTACTTGCTCCTGAATATCTGTAGTGGGCTAGAGAAAGAAATAAGAATAAACACAAAATATACATTAATAAACATTAATTTTAGCTGCAATGCTTTATTAAACAAAACAGTATCACTAAAATCAATAAAAATTTAATAAACAAAATTTTAAAATCATTTTAAAACAGATCTGTGGATCAATGACCTCTTTTTTACATGCTGTTTTGACATCAATACTAACTTAATACTAACAAAATTAATTAGTCTTGAAATATAATCATAAACGATAAGTAAAAAAATTTTAATAATATTTTTCTTCATTTGGCACTAAGTGATTCTTTATTTTAGTTATAAATAAAATAAATATAGTAAAAAGGTTCTTTTCTGTTATAAAGATTCCAGATAAACATCCAACACTCATCGAGTTGCCAACATTTTTTATCCTGGTCTGTCATACCTAAACAAATTAGTTGTAGCTACAACGGTAGAAATCAATGCAAAAATCAATGATTAACAATGATAAAATCGGAATTCCTATTAAGAAACATTAGACACATCTAGGCCATATTTTGATCTTAATTATAACTAGTTATAAATAGTCCAAGGAATATATAGATTTTTATTTATTTATTTTTTGTTATAAGATTTAAGTAAGCTTAAGATAAAAGGGAGCGGAGATTGAACTTTTTTTTGTCAAATTCAATTTACATTAATGAAATTTATTTTAAATCTCATTATCTCTTTTTTATAACACTGTCATCATCAAAGTTAATAATTATGTATATAATTATAACTTTTTATCTTTGTTATTTATTATATACAGAATATACTAATAGGAAAGTAAACACTTATGCATATACAAAATTCTTCTAATATACCTTCGGACATCGGTATGAATAATCACATGGAAACGGCCTGTAAAAGTGGAAATAGTCCTTTTGGCAATGCCTGTAGTCTATAGACGGAGGCCAATATTGAGGAGGGACGTATTCCCCCATATGGCAAGAACAGTCACCACGACCTGGAGACTGGGAAAAATAGCTGGACCTACATTTATGATCTCTCTTTTCTCTCTTTCTTCCACCTCTGTCCAAGCTAGTTGACATTTTTCGCAACTTTACTTCTTCAACTTTCTTCCTCTCCCTTCCTCTTCTCTCGCTTTCATTATATGTCTCATTTAGAGATTGATTCTTGCTGCTGCTACTGACCCAATGGAAATCATCTTTGCAGCAAACAGTGTCACCTTCTATAAAAGTTCAAAAAATATTCAATGCAACTCTAGGATTCTTTATTATAAAACGCAGGATACTAGAAAGTAATGATATATAGCATTGAGAATATACATTCACCAGTGAAGGAAACAAAGCTTTGAAATTTTCTGAGCTTACCTTTCCCCATTGCTTTTAGATTCATTAAAGTTAAGCTGATTTGGATATATCTCCCAACTTCAGTAAAATATTGTGTTTCAAAAGTAAACACCTAACTTCAAATAACTCACTTTTTGATTTCTTTCTTTCAGGATAAACAATTTCTTTTTTTAAAACCCTGCAATATAAAAATGGGATTCCTAAATGTAAATAATTACTAACAAAAATTGATCTGAAGCTAATCAGAGCAGAGAACTTATAAACTTAAAAGTATAAATATAAATGAAAACAAAGTGAAAAATACTGAACTCCCAAAATAATTTTACTTAACCACCACAAACCTTTAAAAAAGCACCTATACAAATAATACTGTTACAAAAAGAATAAGGAAAGAAAAATTCAGAAGTTTGAAGTTTGAGTGATGTTATATTATCAACAATAATTGCCATAGTAATTAATTTCCCAATATATTAGCAGAAATTAGTAAAAAGTAGGAATATAATTTTAGAAGGCACATTTAATTTTAGAAGGCAAAGTCAAAAGCTACATGAATATTACTAACATGAATGAGAAACGAATGATAAATATCAAAAATACTATGATTTTATTTCACTTAAAAAGAAAATGAATATTAAAAGCTGTCATACACTATTTAAAAAAACTAATTAGAACATTGACTGAGCAATCAGGATTGATCCATCCAATGAGCTATTATAAAAAATGCTTTAGGAATTTGGGATATAAAGAATAATAGCGACAGATTATATTAGTACAAAATATCCAGGAAACTCATGAATGGCTAAAATGATCTATCAATGGACTTAGCAATTTATCAATTCATTTGAATTAAAAACTTTAAATAATAATAATAATAAACAAAACAATAGACAAAAAGTAACGATTCTGATGACATATTAAATAATATTTAATTGATTATTTATGGGAGGTGGGAGGGTAATTTCAATAGAAGTAGGTCAGGAGATGGTCAATGAAGCCAAATCACATTCATAGATGAAACTTATTTTTATTGCACCCTATTTCAACCCAGTTTGCAGATCATCAGGGTTAAATATACAAGACACAAAACAATTAAGAACTATAACATTGAAATGGCATATAGGAAATAAAATAATTATGAACATGGTAAATGAAATGACATAATAAAAAAGTTAAAAGCAGTAAATGATACCAGCAGTGTATTATAAATTCATCTTAAACCTTTATAGACAAAGTGAGGTCAAATCCAAACCATTGAAAGTACCCTAAAAGCATGTTTCCTTGAGTATAAGCAACTGCACAAAATGTATAACCTGACAAAAAAGGAATGGTGCCATAGTTAAAATTTGACCCTGCTTTGTAATGAAGGATATAGAATATCTATAATTCACCAGCGTATCATTTATTACTGTTTACATTTTAATTCTGTACTATGTTCTATTCATTCAGTTCATAGTTATTTGTTTTCCTATATGCCTTTTTAATTTCTTACATTAGTTCTACATTGCTTTATATCTTACTCACTTAACCCTTACAAAGACCAAATCGATCAAAATGATAGCACACAATAAACAATAAGTTTCATGTATTAATGAGTTTTACTTACTTCATTCATTGCACCCTCTGACCAATTTTATATAAAAAAAATTTTTATCCTTTCCAAAACAGCCAAAATGTATGCATAAAATGACCAAGAAAAAATCAATCTACTAAGTTTAGAATAAGGGTTTTAAATTTAGATATTTTAAAAGCAATGTATCATTTCTTTCTGGTATCCTGTTCTGTCATTAATTCAAAATGATATTTTAAAAAAAAAAATCAATTAGAACTCTAAATAAATAATTTTTTTTTAAAGCTATTATTTTCATATTTAAATATAACAACTGATGAGTTGTTTTCTATATTTTAGTAATAAATTAATTTCTCATTATCCCTTTAAAAAAGATTGGATCAGATTTTTTTTTTTTACTGGGCAAAAGTTTTTAGCCAATAAGATGAAAAGAATGTTAGTAGCTAAACTTAGTGATAAGAAGTTTTTTAAACATAATAATTATAGTTGAAGAAATTTAGGTGTTAGAAATTTATATTTAAAGATAATATTTTTAAATCATTAACACTTAATTGCAAAACCAAGAATAAATGATTGAAATTTAACAGTTTAGTTATGATTCATTAAAACATCACATGACAATGAATAATATTTAAAGAGATTAATAACATAAAATAAGTAATATTAAATCTACTATTGGCTTAATCGAATAATTTCAATAAACTTTGGTATTGCACTATTACAAAAATCTAATAGATGTACTTACCACAATTATTATAGTCCTTATCTGAAGAAGATGTAATTGATGAGTTGCTGGTAGTGAGAGAATGATCATCTTTTCCAGAATCAGTTGAACTGTTATACTTAATTGTCGATTCATCCATACTCGAATCTAGATTTTCTGAAATATAGTTCCAGAAATGTATCATTTTGAGTACATACCGCAGTACTGTAAAGAACACAATGACCAATACGAAACAGACTGAGCGCATTAAAGGGGAGAAATGGTCTTGTATTGCCAGAGCTAAGGCACAAGAGAGCTGATTGTTTCTAGGGATAACTAAGAATAGATCGACATGGCCTCGCTGGAAAAGTGTTTATATTCAAGCTTCACCAATTCATGCTTAAAGTGGATCCGGGCCACACATGTTTTAGTTAGATCCAGGCATTGATTAAATCCAACAGTCTGGTTTTAATTTAAAGTCAAGTGTATCCTTGATTCACGCTAATCAGTGTTGAAGGGTTAGAAGTATAATTAAAAAAACAAAACAAAAATCTGATAACAGTATAAATGCTGATAGAAGAATCAAATAGGTTTCATTTATTCAATTTTTAATCATTCATAAATTTACTTATTTTTTCAGTTAAAAGTAAAACAATGTAATAGCTATGATATAATTTTATCATGAGTAGTTTAATAATGTAGTCATCTTTCAAATTGTAAATTTTATGAAATTCAATTAACCAATATTGTATAATAAATTATAGTATTTGTATTATAGTATTCAAAGTTTTAGTTTTGAAATATATATCCAATTATTATTGAGAAAACTTGGACTTTTTTTTTTATTAATTAGACAATATGTATAACGGGTAAGAATAAAAAAAAAAAAAAAAATTGAAAAGATATCTACCTGGAATGTAGATTAAAAAAACAAAACATTTTTATAACGATAGATTTCTTAATATGCTCATAACTATATAGGTAAAATAGTTAATACCAATGCTTATATAATATATAATTAGTTTTCTGTAATATTTGAGCTAATTATTTAGTATACTACATAATGTGGTACTTTAAAGTATGCTTGGATTTATCAGGAATAGTATATTTTACAGGAAGACAGATAATATTGGAATTCATTTACACACATGAACATAATTGTAATTTTATTTAAAAATCCCTAATGGAAAATAAAAACACTGCATTCTGATTGTAAATATTTTCTAATTGTTTAATCAATTTTGAATTCTTAAATGTTTTTGGTCCAGGTTTAATAATACAGAAGGATAATATAAAAGATTATCAATGCCCTACATGAGGAAAAAAGGAGAGGGGATTATGAATACCTCTTCTTTTAATAAGAAATGAAATTCTAGAGATGTGTAACATAAAAGTAAATGAAAACTGTTAATTTGCATTAACATGGGTGAAAAAAACTATTTTATTTCAAGCAAACATTCGTTTATTGTTTTTAATATTTATATATTTTTTAACTTATTGAATACTTGATTGTTGACCATCATATATTTTTGAGGAAGGAGATGTAAATTTATGTGTTTGAAATATTTATTGATTAATACAATTAAAAAAAATGAATCAAATTTATTTAATTTATAATATTTTTGAGGAGGGAAGAAAAAGTATAGGGATATAAGGGAGCAAACTTTGGAGATAGGTAGGATTGAGGATGACAAGTTGCGTTGCTGATATCGACAGTCCCCCTGACAGCAGCACAATAAACACTATCGGGCATAAGTACCACCTCTCTCTCCGCCCTCTCTGCTTCTCATTTTCAATCTACGCTTCTCTGCCCTCTACTAAACACCGCTTCCAGCTTTTTTCTATCATTAATTTTTTTTTCAGATTACTCCAATTTTTTAAAATTGCAGCATACATAAATTAAAACATTTCATACCAATTTGGAATTTATCCAGTCAGAACTAGACCTGAGAAATTGTTTGAGCTCAGAGATGGCTATGACCCAAATAAGGAAAAAAAACACTTTTAAATTCATAAATCTAAGTGAAGAATCAAAGTAAATGGAACTGCTGAATTCCTTTAAGATTGGTTCAGTACAATAATTAGAAAAAAAAAGGATTGAACTGAGGTTGCTTAAAACTTCCCCATCTCCCAGAACATTTTATAAAAGAACTGTTGGTATTCATCACAAATCAACTAAATACTAACTACATATGCATTCCTAAATCTTTATTGAATATGTTTTAGCACCTAAAGAGTAAGCAAAAGTCCTTAAATATAGCGTAGGAGGCAGTTTTCTAAAACCATCATTTTTTAAAAAAAGGAACCTTAAATAGTGTAAATAAAGCGAATTCTAAATTGGGGGAGGAGGATAAAATAAAAAAGACTGATCAAGCTCAATATTATTGTATCAATATCGAATATATTGACATTTGTACTATGTACAAAACGTTCAAGAATATTGATTCAATAATATAGTAAGGTTGGATTTAGAATATCCTATGAATTAAATAATCACTGATATAACCTAATTTTTGGTGAATTATTTCATGATAAGCTCGGTTATGAATGAAATAATTTATTTCTCATTAACAAAATTTAATTTTATAACACTATATTTAAAATAATACGTTCTTGCATTCCAGTAAAAACGCTAGAAGTAAAACTTACTTTTTGTACAAACGGTTTTTTAATAGTTTTTTTTATGATAAAATATGGTCTTACATTTATTTCTATTATCATTTAGAAACAGAAATAATAAATTTACATAGATTAGTTTCGGAGAGACGATAAAGATGTGAGAACAAATGGCAAAAAACAACTGATATTCAGAAATAAAATTAATAGTTTTATTTCATTTCTTAAACTTTTATTTATTTTCTTCATCAGCTGCTTATTCAGTAGTTATCTAAGATCCTAAATTATGGTACCGGATACCGAATGATGAAATATATATTTTCTTCATTATAAAGCGGGTTGTGAAAGACTTTATTTGAAGGTAAGGGAGACACTTAAGCGGGCAAACAGAAGGAAGGCTAGTTTATTATGTAAACGTCACTATTACGTCTTTCATTGGAAATATTCCAAAATGCACATTCCATGTTCTGAGGACGAGATATTTTCAATCCCGTTCAAAATCTTTCAATCGAAGGGTTTCGTCGAACGGAATAATATTAAAAAATACAATAAAACATCATTTATATTCATATTTCACAAATTATAAAAACATACAATACGTAAATGAACTGTTTCAATGGAAATTGATGATAACGACATTTGCGATGTAATGTTTGTATGTTTGATGAACAAGATATCGGAACCGAAGTGATCTTAATATCATGACACCTTAAAGATTTGGAACTATAAGAAATTGTATAAATATAATTAGAAAAAAAAAAAACATGATGACCAGAATAACGAAAAACTAAAAATGAAAATGTGTTAGTTCACAAAATTTAACATTTATTATTACATTATTTAATTTATATTTTCGATGAATCAGTCTGTCAGAAGACTTCGGGGTGAAACTTACATAAATAATAAAAATATATATTTACCTATTCTCCACGGTTTTAACAACTAAAATCATTTACGTAACAAAGAAAACGTATTTATTTATCTAATTATTAAATAAAGTAAATTAAATCAAAGTTATAATAAATGGAATAACAAAATATCTAAAACTCTAATATTGGCAGATACGAGAACTATTACAAAAGCATAAACATTCCTTATAAAATTTTGCATTTATTAATCCTAATTAATAAAAATTAGCAGTCCTATACACATAAGCCACTTAAAATGAAATGGATGAAATCATTATTAATCTACACATAAATGACATTTTTAAACAATATAAATGTAATAATTTTGACCGTAACAGATGAAATATAAATAAGGGCTTCCTAGTTTCGAGCATAAAAATAAAAATATATTTACTAAAATGTAATTAATGGAACTTTCTTAAACAACTTTTTTAGTCAAAGGAAATGTTTCTTGAATACAAGCAGATCGTTATGAGATCGTTCTTGTCTTAGTGCTAGAGAACAAATAAAATGAAATTTATTGTCACCTTCAAAAGAAAAATTGGAGATATTATATATTTGAAGGAAAATACTCCATGAATCTCGATCAGAGAATGTTTTACGGGAATTCGTGCGAAATGTGACGAATGGTATTTTTGAAAAAGTTCTTAAATATGTTCGATTCAAATAGTTAAATCGTCGACCATGTTAACCTGTCCAACGTTGCACATTCGTTACCTTAATATGGTGCCGACGACGATATATCATGATAAGAGTTTTACTGAATTTTACGCTACTGTTTATCTTCCGAAAACTGAGAAGCACTATTTATTTAAACAATATATTTAAATTACATTGTCTCAATAAGTAAACATTAAGATGAGTTTTTTTTTTATAATCGATTAACATTCCATTAAACCTAAAAGGAATAGATTGGAATGCGAACTTGACGAGGCAAAGGTGTATCGAAAGAAATAGAATGAGACTAAATGTTTTGTTTGTGTTAAAAATAAACGATGTCTAGTGCCTGTCTCCCCATAGAGGTCGCACCGCTATAAATAAAAGGACACGTAACCGAGGTATTGGCCCAGCCTGCTGGTACTGTGCATAGAGTAGAGTACTCACCCCTGGACGAAGATGTCCTCGCCAGCTGCCTCTCGAGGAGGGCGATCGTGGAGGCGACGATACTGCCGTCCCGGACCATCTTGCGACTGAGGCGTCCGCGGGGTAAAATTAGATCCTCAGCCTCCCCTCCAAGCCCCTAACCCACATCTCATCCTCGCCGTACCGGCAATGCATTAATTAGCTCATTAATATAAGGAGTGGGTAGGGCAAGAAATTCTAAACGAAAGACAATGGGGAAACTAAATAACAAATGTTTTCATATTAGTATATTTATTGAGGTATTCCTTCACTGCACAGCATACAATGACTATAGACAAAAATTCCTTCAAAACTTCAACTCAGAATCTTCTGATAACCAAAACATCGAAACCACACTGAATATCGATTGTATAGATAAGTTAAATAAAGTTTACTATTATATGATGTGAGTACACAAAGTGCATACACAAAATTGTTGATCATAACCCATGTTCTATTAAGTGTTGTTTTTAGTTTATCTTAAAAGTAATATTTTGTATATATATATATATATATATATATATATATAAATATTTTTATTTTTTATTGTTTCTATCATGGTAACAGGTTCATATAACTATCATTATGCAGCAATCGTTTTATGTTTTAATTTTTATTGTTATTCATGTTTTGTAAAATCATCATCATCTAAACGTAAAATATTGTAAATTTTATTTATATTTAAATGATATGTATGTAACTTGTAAAACCATATTATTCTATAATATCCAAGCTAGGCTCTATTTGTATGGGGAATCTCGAAAAAACAAATAAAATATCCATCTATCTATTTACTGAGGTATTCGAAAAAAAAATTATTTTACCTTTTACCTTAAAATGCCCTTGGGCAATAAAAGGAAATTGAAAATTTATGTATATATAACATTTATATATATTGTATTTTGTAATAAAGAAATTCCTGGGGGAGGAGGGGGTAGGAAAAAAAAAAATATTCAAATCGAGCATGTACTTCAGAAGACGCAAGTGAAAGTGATTGTTCGATGTTTAGATTGTAACAAGCTCCAAAAACCACATTGCCATAATTTGAGGCTTCTTAGATCCAAAGCGAAAAAAATAATAGCTGAAACGTGATACCTCAGGGTCTAGTGTGAATGAAATCTATTTAATGAAGAAGTTGGTGAGAGGTGGATACAAGAGAGAACATACAGTAATTGTTAAATTATGGGTAATAAATATTCAGGACGCAGTCTTTTTAATTTTTGCCAACGTTTCAACCCAAACATGTGGGTCATCTTCGGGGCTAAACTTTTTTTTTTTAATTTTTTAAAATTAAATTTTTTTAGTCCTGAAGATGACCCACATGTTTGGGTTGAAACGTTGGCAAAAATAAAAAATTTAAAAAGACTGCGTCCTGAATATTTATCACCCATGATATGTAGAACAGTCGAGTAACTTCCTTCGAGTAAGTGTTAAACATCTTTTATGTTTTTATGTTATGGCCAAGTTTTTGGTCTTTATCAGGGTTAAGAAACAGGACTTTTAAACTCATGATTTCTTTTCCAATGAAGGTGTAACGGTCAGTTCACACGTATCTATCATATACTGCCACATATGCGCACCCATGCATTTTATCTACAACTTATACATTTATTTGAAATTATTTTAAAATAAAACTTTGTAAATATTTATATACATTGTGAATATTTTTTAATAATAAAAAGTTTATGATAACAGGATGAAATCCTCGATCAGAACATAGCCGACGAACGGCATTGATAGTTACACATATGCTAGTAAGATGCAAGTTAAATTTTGACAAACAGTCATGGATCAACTGATTCCGATTTAGTCCGTGAGCTAGCAATGTTTTTCTTATACCATAATAGACAAAGACTTCGCTAGTAGTCCACGATACAGATATCTTTTTATCAAATTATTAACATCCGGCTAAAACTTCGCGCTAGCTTTAGTAATAGTGCTAATAAATAAATACATAATAAATTAAATTTTTTTTTTTTATTTATTTATATCATATTTACAACTGTATACAAAAAATACATCTAGTAAATTCGCACATGGATATAATGACATGAAACTCATGTTGAGAAACTACCCATTGGTAGCACTCTAATAATGTGTCTATATTAGGAGATCACGAGGCCATCTTCTTTTCAGACGCCTCGGAGGGTTATCAGGAATTGAATAGGAAGCAAAGTTAGAAACAAGAGGATTGGGATGGTTCTGAAGTTTATTATGGAAGGACAGATATCTGGATTGGGCCAAATCTGATACATAAGGAACATTAAGGTCATTATGGATGATTTTATTTTTAACGAAGTAAGGAGCATTCAGGATTTTGAGGATTGGATACGAGAGGAGTTTGAAGGTTTGGTGGAGCCCCATGGTTCAACTCCGTAAGTCCAAATAGGCCTTATTATAGTCATGTAAATGAGTCTTTTGTAATTAATTGGAAGGTTAGAGCGTTTGTCTAGTAAGTGTTGAAGTAGTCGGACAGGTCGAGCTGTTTGTTGTCGTTTCAGTCTGGTATGAGGATTCCAAGTTAGACGTTTGTCCAGGTGAAATCCTAGGTAATAAATTAAATATAAATAAGGACTTCCTAGTTTCGAGCATAAAAATAAAACTTTGTTAAACAGTAAAAACAACTTTTTTAGTCAAAGGAAATGTTTATTGAATACAAGCAGGTCGTTCTTGTCTTAGTGCTAGAGACCAAATAAAATGAAAAATCACCTTCAAAAGAAACATTTGAGATATTATATTTTTGAAGGAAAATACTCCATGAATCTCGGTCAGAGAATGTTTTACGGGAATTCGTGGGACATTTGACGAAGGCACCATCGGAATGGTATTTAGGATTATCACAATCAATAACCATTTGAACTACAAAATTCTCACAAATGTGGTATTTTCTCATTAAATTAAATAATTTAATAAAGCAAAAAAAAATCAGGAATATTCATTTGGTTTGCACTTAAATCATAAGATAATTTGATGACAAAATCGATATAAAATGTGGGCTTTAAAAATATATTGGACCATTTGATCTGTATAACCTCGTTTTTTTCACGAATTGGAAATGGATGGCAAGTAGAAAGCAAATGGGTTTTTACGAGGTTTTATTGTCTCCATAATTAGCAAAGTATATTAATTTAAAATGGCCCATTTCCGAAAATACTCGTAAATAAAAAAGTTTACGATAAAATGGTTCTGTGCTGCAGATTATAAAGGTTATGGAAGTTCTATCAGGCAAACTCAAAATTCTAAAAAAATAGTTATACTGTTATAGTTCACTGAGGGATCCAGGATTTAATTTTTGGAGGGGGCTTCAGCACGAAAGATTTTTTTTTTGGGTGTATATATTAGGATAATTACTTTGGAAGAAAGAAAGAAACTAAATACCTATATGAAATGGTGTTTAAGTGATTCTTTAAGTCCTATTAAATGTAATTAGACAAACAATAATACTTTTAAAGATAATTTTTTTTTCATAAAACATGGTTATATTTTACCATTTTTTTGGAGGAGGGGCTTCAGCCAGAAAGCTTCTCCCCTCCCGCAGATGCGCCTGTGATACAGCTGATTTAGGGAATACCTCGCCAGACAAAAAAATTTATTTGTCCCTTCTACACAACACAATTTAGGAATTTGGGTCAAATTTACCTAGTAAGCGGCACGCTTGTTAAATAGTTTATATCAATCTTTAAACATTTCATAATAGTCTCGCATGAAATCTGACAAAATATTTCGGTGGGTTATATAAACCATTCAAAATAAAAGATAAAATACAAATCCGAGAAACTTGAAGAAAAAAAAATACGTCATGAATAACATGAGACATTCATAGGCACAGGCGAATCTACAGGGGAAGGGGAAGGCTTTCGGGCTGAAGCCCCCTCCCCCCCTCTCAAATTGGCAAAATGTAACCATGTTTTATGGAAAAAAATATTTAAAAAATATCTCTTACAGTATTATTATTATTGTTCGTGTAATTACATTTAATAGGACTTAAAGAATCATTTAAACACCATTTCATATAGGTTAGTTAGTATCTTTCTTTTTTTTTTTCTCAAAATAATTATCGTTATATATTTGAAAAAAAAAAAAGCTTTAGGGCTGAAGCCCTCCCTAAAAATAATTAAATCCTGGATCCGCTAGTGTTCATAAGTGGCTAACACGTGACATAGCTTTTTCAGTATCGATACCATTCTTGGACGATTCACATACTATCCAATAAAATATTTTGATAGGTTAGTAAAATTTTCAAAAGGCGTCACAAGTGGCATAGGATTATTTTTGACGGAAATGTTCTACTGAAACAGATTATTTAGGAAATAACTCGCCAGATAAACAGTTTGGTTATAAACTATTTTAAGAGATCAACAAGACAATAGTACCCCCCTTCATCCCGAAGTTTGAGGGAGAGAACTATTGAGAATAGAATTTTTCAAGTAGTACTGGATCCGAGGTATATCTTGTATAATTGCACCATTTTATTTTTTTTAACAAGCAGGTAAGACTGATGGGTCAACTCATGCATTGTTTCCTGTAAAGTGAAACTATTGTATATTTTTAAGGAAAAATCGACAAAATCTGTGTCATGTGCAGTACATCCTTTCTGCCCAAAATAAATGCATACGAATTGTTCTAATGCAGAAGAGTCCTTTTCGTTTTTTTCCCAGCTTTACCTTGCAAAACATCTGCAATATATTCATGAAACATTAATAATTTTAGTGGTTGGATTTTTCCTTTTCGCGTAAAAGCTGCACAGTACAAACCATGAAAGAATGATGCTCCTAATTTATCTTTGTTTTAAAATTTCTATTTAACTATTAGACGGGCAAATTAACAATGTCCGTTAAGCCAGGTACTATAACTTACTTGTAATTGTTTTTTTACACAACGATTCGTTTCGAAGGATACATATCCTAAAGCTTAAGGCTGTTTATAATTACAAAACGCAAGACGTTTACGGAAAATTAGTCTTATATGAAATGTATTTAATGACAAATTATTATAAAAAGCTACGCCAGAAATTTAAACAAGCATTTTTAATGTTAACTCAGACCAATCCCAGTAACAATT